CCCTTGGGCGGCCACTGCACTGTCCACTGTGGGAGTTAAGGTCTTCTATGACGTATTCCTGGTACACACGTGACACTGTGGATTGAGGAATTTTAAATGCCCACACAGCTTTGCAAATGCTATGTTCCATCCGTTTGGCGCCCACTATCGTGCCTTGTTCGAACTCCGATAAATACTGTTGTCTTGCAAGCTAGCCAGTGTTTAACCTCAGTCACAAGATAACACCTCCCACCACCTATACAGGTGTAGGCGTTCCCAAGCTATCCCCCTGAGGTAACACCACTTCATAATCAATTTACATACTGCTAACCCATGACTTTTGGCATGTTGGTGTATTAAAAATAATTCTGTTTGTTCAGAGATACTGGAACAAATTGTGAAGTCCTTACGTATAACCTGTTACTTATGACATGTTTGTATGCTAGGGAAAAGCAGAAGTGAACTGCGTTGGCTACCTTGCTCTGCATGGTAAGAAGTAGTCCATAATACAATAATGTTCTGTATTTTACAGGGGGTGTTTAAGTGATGTTAATAAATTTGTTTGTACTAAGGATTTTTTTTTTAATATGTTACAGTGGGAAAAACTGGGATGACACATGGAAACCTGCCAGTGTGATTGAGAAGTTCTTGTAAAAAAGAAATAACCACAGCTTGTTACAGCACACAGTGTCAAAATACTTTTGCATGAAATAAATTTATAAATACATAATTACATATCTGTCTGAATATGCTTTAAATTGGCCATACTTTCTTGCCATTCTTCAGAAACTGGTCTGAAGCTTAACACATTGCAGGAAGTAAATGACACTGCTACAGTGACTGTTTTAGTGTACTGCATTTTGCACTTCTTTAAATGAATGTCATTTGAATTAACATGAGCAGTCCATGAATTCCTTCAGAGATGCATGCCAGTCCCATCTATGGAAAAGTGAGGTAAGATTGCATGTGCTTTTATGAATACAATAAGATACATGGAGGTAAACAGTACGTTTACAGTGACTTTTTAAAGCTTTGTGTTGTTTAAGGACTGATTCATCAACATAAAGTATATCTCAAGATGTTGTTATTTTGTGTCTTTGTACTGCTGGTCTATCATTTATGGTGGTATCGCAATTCCTTACTGTTATTATGACAATACTATGCCAAATGTTTCTTCATTAGTTGATTTATTTCATGTTTTGCTTTGGATATTTCTTACATACACAGTCTTATGCAAAAGTTTGGTGGTTCTGGTCAGATAAATTGTATTGGTTATTTTTCAAGTGAGTTTCAGTTTTCCAGGGACAGGGATTTTTTTTTAATTTGTGGTTGTCTCTTTTTGGGGTATCATGGACTATGTTAAATAGAAACCATATAAATCACCCTCTGTATCAGGCCTGTCTAACTAAAATCTAACTGTATTCAATTCATGGTGCACATCTTCTCGTGACCCCCTTATCGAGAGTGAATAATAAACGTGTATTGTGACGCCCCTAAAAGCTATTAGCTGTAGGTCACCCCTATAGCTATATGTCTGCATTGAGCATCAGTGGGTGTGGGTTGTGCAGTGATAGGCTGATGTGGTTGACTATTCAATGTTTGCTTATTATTGAGATTGCTGAGTAATACTATTTACAGGCCTTTCCATTTCTGGAATGTGACAGTTATGCTAGTGAGGGTGATCAGAGGAAGTGTCAAGAAGAAATCCAGGGTTGACAGTCCGCATATAGTGGGGAATACAGCGTCTCTCTGGAGTTACTCAGGTAACATTGCAGTAATATAATATCAAATTCAGTTAATAAAATTTCATGCTGGTGGACAGATTTTGAAATATATTTGTTCATTTTGCATGTGTGCATCTGACAAAGCCATGGCTCAAAGAATTCCAAATTTTGACTTTAAATATGATCAGATTTTATTTTTCAAAACATATCCTACTCAATAAACGTGTGATATAGACAGCAAAAACAAAAAATATTGAAGGAGCAATGAAAGCTGCTGTTGTTGTACGAAAGTGCAGTAATATTACAAAAGTGTCCCAGCAGCTCAGCTTAGTAGAAGGCATCGGCCTGAGGCTGTTGTAAGGCACTTGCAGAACACTAGTTCTAGTGATGTCTCCTGACTTCCTTTATATTCTCATGAATGATTTTGTTTGTTTATTTATCCTTTGCATTTAGGGATCTGTGGTGTTTACCACACCATTTGAAGACTGTGATTGCTGAGAGATGTCTTCATCATGAGGTGGAAGTGATCCTTTGTAAGGAAATGCAGCAGCACTGAAGGCCCCTGATGCACCAGATGGCAAAGTACTATGCTACATGGTGCAACGAGAGCAATATGAACTAAAAATTTTAATTCTAGTGGGCTGCGAGAACACTTTTAGCCAATACATTTTCTAAATTGCTTATCCTTCTGGATTACAAGGGGAGGACATGCAAACTCCACACAGAAAGGACCCTGATTGCCCAGCCCAGAATTGAACCCAGGCCCTTCTTGCTGTGAGGTGACAGCACCACCCACTGCGCCACCCACCAATACAATAACCAAGCATTATTTTTTTTTATTATCCAGGAGCATGTGCCCTCATGGAACAGAGACATTTCCGATGATATTTACTGAGCAACGAAAAACAGATATTTGTTATGGTGGGTTGTGACTTCATAATCTTTTTTTGCACTGACTAGTGTTAACTGGGTCATAAAACTGGGATGCTACACATACTGGAGACTGGTCATGCTGCATTACATCAGGCACTGAGCTGCAGATTCCTGTTGGAGTGCAGTGATAGGTCTTCAACCTTGTGGATATTTGTTGGGGATTCTGTTTGCTGACCATTGGGTTTCTTCTGGCTAATATGAATATAAACAAGAGATGGTAAGACTTTTTACTAGAGATATAAATTTAATCATAGACGAGGCCTTTAGTTGCCATCACAGCAAACGGTTCTTATAATTGCTAAGAGGCTTTTTGCATGTCTCCACTGGGATTGTGTACCACTGTGTCACTTGTTTATGTAATCCCCAGCAAGAAGATTGGTCGGATTAATATTCACTATGAAAATTTGACATGGATATAAATAATTGTGTTTATGTAACACAAATCAAGATGTAATAAAAGAATTATAGGTTATTTTGGCTCAAATGTGCATGAAGAATGCTAACTTAATAAAAGGTGGATTGTATGGACACGCAAACCGAAAGAATCTTCTGTATCAGCTTCTGTAGGCTTTCAATGAAATGTCTTAAACCATTTCACATTCATTCTAGTTAAGTACTACACTTTATTTCTGACATCTTGTTGCCTTTAGGTCAGTAAAGATATTTTGATACCTTGACAGGAATTGTTTATTTTTGTTTAGCTGGCTTAGTCCAAGCATTATTGTTCATAAGTCCTCTAAGGGTAAAGGGACAGACTCCACTGAAATTTGCAAACATGATAACAAATTGCTATTCAGCATTGAGAAAGCATCATTAATTAATTAATTATTAACCAAACTAAATTGAACGACTGTACAACTAGACAAATGAAGTCTAAAATGATCACACAAAGTCCCTACCTACACTACTGTTATTTAACATTTAAGCTTTTTTACTTTATTTTGTTAAATGTTTTCCAGGATGATGTTTGCCACTCCAAAAGGCAGACAAGTAGGGTACTCTTTGAGTATGATTTTGGACTTATGATAATGAGATATCATGAGTATGATAATGTCCATGTTTTCTGTGCGTACAATTGCATTCCATCCCAAAGGATCCTTAAACAGTACTTTTATATTCCCTAAACTCTTGAGCACAGGATGTTGGTTAGGGAACTGCAGTTAATACTTGAACATCCTATAGCCATAATCTAACATGAACCAACAAGCATTTTCAAGAGACATGTAATGACTGATGGGTCAACTTTCCTGTAACTTCCTGTGAAGTGATAAACCAGTGTTAACTATTCCATATGAAGTTTGAAATTCCTTTCTAACTGAACATTTTTACTCCCTATGTCTTGGAATCACCCTTAAAATGTCTGAATACCCTGTTCAGACCATTGTGCAAGGAACTATAGGGTGATTGGAATGCACAAGGGTTAGATATTATGCCACAGATGTCTAGACCAGTGGTTGTCAATCCATTCCTTAGGGCTCCCCCAATCCATTTTTGCTTCAACACAACTCACCACACATAGGGATGAAGGAAAAAAATGTGGACTGTCTGGGACTGAGTTGGGAACCACGGGTTCTCAAACCGGTCCTCAGGGACCCCTAGAAAGTCACTAGGACTTTCGGGCCTTGAGCCACCTAATTTGGATATTAGTGGAGTAAGGCGACAAAGTACTCAGAGTTTGGGCCGGTTGGGCCAGGAAAACCATTTTTAACTTTCAGTGCTTGGATCAGTCCAAAAATAGATGTAGAGGCCTCCAGAGGCATGCCGCATAAGTGGACAGGAACAGGAAGTAGTTTTCAGAGAGTCTAGAAACATTTGCACAAGTGCACTCGGCTCGACCTCCTGATCTCTGTTGTGGTGTTATCTCACAACCGTAATTTTTGTTGTTAGGGTCAGATATTACCAAAGCTCTCGACTCTTACCTGTACTCCTTGACCTTTGAGCCTGGAGCCACCAAACTCAGATATGAGTACTCATAGGACAACAAAGTGTTATGAGTTTGGTGGCTATACTGCCTTGCTCCCGACATACATTTTGCTGAGCAGCTGCCATAGGCCTGAAATAGAATTGTACACCCAGAAGTATCTCCTTGACCCTTTGACCCATAGGCCCTAGGCTCATATCAGTGCTGAAATGAACCATGGGTCCTTTAGGGGTGTAACAGATTACATATCTGAGCGCTGGCCCCCAGGAAGTACCTTTATGGAGGTCATAGAAACCCAGGACCTGTGCGCAAGTGCTCTGCTTGACCTCTCAAGCTCCACTTTGGTGTTATTTTACCATGCTGATCTTATTTGGTGTTCAGCGTCCCAAGGCATACCAAAGAGTCCGGTGGCGATCGGACGGTGTGAAAAGGAACCAAGGCGCTTAGAGCTCACCCGACACCAGAGCACCCAGGAGTAGAGCAGCACTGGCTGTCTTCGTAATGGACATCTTCATGCTAAAGTCTATGGGAAAATTAGGGACCCAGACCAAATGGTGATGTGATAAAGTCAATGGAATTTTGTATGGAATGTTGCTAAAAGCCCTAACATCTCCTTTAAAAACTTAAAAATAACACCATATCATTCCATTACATTTCACACACAGGCTAATGAATAAGGTAGTTAATGAATTTTAATGCCAATATTTAAATAATTAATATATAATTTCTAACCGTATTGACATAGGAATCACAAAACCTACATCATTTTACCTTTCTACATAAGCTTCTGGCTGATTTGAGCCCTACTGTGGGTATATGTCTCTATCATAGAGAACCACCTATGCAGCTTTGCAAGACTGTATGAGCAATTTCATTTTGTTCACCATTTACTATGCTGGTATGATAAACTGCATGTTCTGTTGAAGGTGGATGATTGTAGGGTCCATAATGACAGGAAAAACATATGCATTTACATATGCATATGAACTAAAAAAAGTTGATCTTTTTACTGAGTAAATCAGGTGTTTCATCTGTAATGCAAAATCCTCTCACTTGTTTAACAATTGTATCTTACTGTTTGGAGATAAATGAAGGGTCATAGAACTACATTTCAGTTTAATTAAGAATGGAATGGACAATACACCAATTTCACACTATTCTAGAAAGGTGGTAACTTAACATTCTTACCAAACAGTTATGATCAAACAAAAAATGTTTAATCTAGTCAACCATGATATAATCTGTCTTTCAACAATAGAGGAACAATTCATCAATCAGACAGGAAGCTTAGAAGTCAAGGCCTACACCTATTCCATATCTCACTGCTCTGTTTTCTACATGCCATAAATTTCACCTAGAGTAATATATACTACACATGAATTTACTTGTAGACACATTTAAAAGATGGTCCTTTAATGGTTAACAGGTTCTTTGTCTTGCGAAAGATTTCTTTAGATTGTTGGAGAATGTGCTATAGATGGTTCCATTGGAGAATGTGCTATAGATGGTTCCATCTATAGCACATTCTCCAACAATCTAAAGAAATCTTTCACAATACAAAGAACACTTTAATCATACAAAGGGTTCTTTGAGTGTTCATGGGTTTATACAGAATCATTTTCTTTACTAAAGAACCCTTGAATAACCACCATTTTTAAGAGTGTACATTTTTTAAGAGAGTCATCTGTTTACAAATCACAGCAATTAAACATTTACTGTAGATGTCAATTACATGCCACCATTTTCTTTGTGAATTATAAGTCATTATAATTGAAATGTCATGTAAAAACCACACACAAAAGTGTCATTTTTGGAAAGGTGATTAACTATAACTTTTTGAACTATATTAAACTATATTAAATATATCTTTTGAATGTATTTATGGTAACATACCAGGTGACTAATTATAGTCAGCCAGTTGAAATAATGATCCTGATATACAGTGACAGGATATTACTATTAACTGTTTGGTGCTGATGAAAACACGTCTCTCATTTGAGATGTTTATTATATTATTTGGCCTATGACATTTTTGTTTGCAATCACTAATAAGCCTAAATTATTCATATAAACATCATTTATAACTTGGTGTGTGTTCTTACCGTTCTGAACCTTGTAATTTGCATAGATGGTATAGAATGGTGTGTAGAATATGGAGTACCTGTTTGTTAATGTAGAAACACTTAGTGGTATGCTATATGTATTATTGTTTGTGTAGGAAGATTCTGTCCTACTGTTTGTTCAGAGAACATACAGGCAGTCAGCAGGAAAGATCTCCAGTTGTGCAAAGCAGAGCACCTTGGTGGAATGAGCTGGTGGCTAAAGGTGTTCCTTCATGTCATGGGATGTTGGGGGTGGGGAATGAGAGGGGACAGAATTGTTCATATGTTCTCCAATAATATTACAATCCTCTTCTTTGTCACTGCCTCCAGAAAGTCCAGAGACAGTGATTAGACTACACCTGTTTGCCAGATCATGGGTTTTTCACCGGGTGATTGGGGCACTTTTGGGGAATTACCCTGTGCATATCATTGCTGTCCAAAGAAAAACAAGTATCTCCAAAATGGTAACTTTACAGGATAGAGCAAAATGTTTTCAATTTTAATATTTTAATGTAAGTAAATACAATGTGGTTTTATTCCAAGCAATTTTGAAGCAGTTCTATCAGTCCAGTCTTCCTGAATGTTTCACGCAATGTAAAGGCCAGCTGCAGAGTTCCGCAGAAAAATAAAATTTGTAAAAAATGGAGAGACTTGTTTTATTATGCATGTAGTTCCTCATTAAAATGAATTTATACTGAATATTTGTTATGTAAATCGCAAAAAAGTCCTAACACAGCACATTATTTACTGTTGAAATCTCTCATAGGGAACACTTGTTTTTTTTTTTTTACTTATATGACATATCCAAAATGTGAAAATATTAAATTAGCGTTACTTGCCTTTACCTACATGCTCTCATACGCTGTTCATGCCTTTTACTTTAAATATATAAAATGTATCACACAGACCAAATAATGTCAGTATTCATAACTTTTATTATACATCCATGTGATGTCAGACAACATATACATCTATATTCATATTCATTCAAAAGCATAAAGGCACAACTGCAGAAAGTTTACCAAAAAAAAAGAACCCTAAGTAGATTATTAAAACTTCAAAAAGCTTGATGACATTACATATCAAATGACTACATAAACAAATATAAATTATATTATGGACACTACTGATTTAATATCATACCTATATAATACCTTTATATTGCACTTAAACTCTTATGTTACATGTGGTCATAATAGAAAATACAAAACCCTTATTTGTTATAGTAAACTGTGGTCATATGGGTCTGTCTTGTGTTAGTCTACTGTAGTGATATTAATATGTGGTAGTAAAGGTCAGTCTTGTGCTACTGTACTGTAGTGATGTGTGGTAGTAAAGGTCAGTCTTGTGCTACAGTACAGTAGTGATATTAATATGTGGTAGTAAAGGTCAGTCTTGTGCTACAGTACAGTAGTGATATTAATATGTGGTAGTAAAGGTCAGTCTTGTGCTACTGTACTGTAGTGATATGTGGTAGTAAAGGTCAGTCTTGTGCTACAGTACAGTAGTGATATTAATATGTGGTAGTAAAGGTCTGTTGTGCTACTGTACTGTAGTGATAATATGTGGTAGTAAAGGTCTGTTGTGCTTCTGTACTGTAGTGATATTAATATGTGGTAGTAAAGGTCAGTCTTGTGCTACTGTACTGTAGTGATATTAATATGTGGTAGTAAAGGTCTGTTGTGCTACTGTACTGTAGTGATATGTGGTAGTAAAGGTCAGTCTTGTGCTACTGTACTGTAGTGATATTAATATGTGGTAGTAAAGGTCTGTTGTGCTACTGTACTGTAGTGATATTAATATGTGGTAGTAAAGGTCAGTCTTGTGCTACAGTACTGCAGTGATTTTAATATGTGGTAGTAAAGGTCTGTTGTGCTACTGTAGTGATGTGTGTTAGTAAAGGTCAGTCTTGTGCTACTGTACTGTAGTGATATTAATATGTGGTAGTAAAGGTCTGTTGTGCTACTGTACTGTAGTGATATGTGGTAGTAAAGGTCAGTCTTGTGCTACTGTACTGCAGTGATTTTAATATGTGGTAGTAAAGGTCTGTTGTGCTACTGTAGTGATGTGTGTTAGTAAAGGTCAGTCTTGTGCTACTGTACTGTAGTGATAATATGTGGTAGTAAAGGTCAGTCTTGTGCTACTGTACTGTAGTGATGTGTTAGTAAAGGTCAGTCTTGTGCTACTGTACTGTAGTGATATTAATATGTGGTAGTAAAGGTCTGTTGTGCTACTGTACTGTAGTGATATTAATATGTGGTAGTAAAGGTCAGTCTTGTGCTACAGTACTGCAGTGATTTTAATATGTGGTAGTAAAGGTCTGTTGTGCTACTGTACTGTAGTGATGTGTTAGTAAAGGTCAGTCTTGTGCTACTGTACTGTAGTGATAATATGTGGTAGTAAAGGTCAGTCTTGTGCTACTGTACTGTAGTGATATTAATGTGTTAGTAAAGGTCTGTCTTGTGTAAGTCTACTGTAGTGATATTAATATGTGGTAATATTAATGGTCTGTCTTGTGCTTGTATGTTTCAGTGCTATAAACATGTTATAGTAAAATTTACAATAGGGCCATATAAACATCTAAAACAAAGTATTAGTCTTTTAAGCTGAGCTCTATGGAAAATAATTACACAATGCAAGTGTCATCATCATCTGAGCTTTGAGAACTATCATAATGCTCATCGCTTGAAGTCTGCAGCAAGAAGTTGCTGCCATCATTTGATTCAGAAAAAAATTTGCAGATATAAGTCTCTCACATGCTTCTGAACAATTTTAGTTTTCCACAGCCTTCTCCGGATGACACACAGAAGTCCTTTGGAACCTTCCTCTGTCAGACTCCACTGGGAATCTTAATAGGAACAAAACATACATCACACTGTGTAACACAAACAAATTTATATTCAACTGAATTTCCTCAGCATTGAAATGGCAGTTGCAGTAGTTAACTTTATGAAGTCATGTATGTTCATGCTGTGTAACTGTATGCTGTATAATATTAGAATAAACTGTTGTAACGAGTTTTGCCATTTTTAATATTATTATTGCTAGAACCTTATGTGAGGGTGTGAGGTAACCCAGATTTATTTGAAGTCTACAGACCAGGGCAAGAGAGAGAAACGCTCGCACCAAGGATGCTTCAGAAAAGGGAATTTATTGGCTAAATATCAAACTACTTTTGGACTACATTCAATGATAAACAATAGAAAATAAAACAAGAAAACAAAACAAAACAAAGTGATAGTAATGAAAGACAAAATAGCTCGAGTAAGTTAGAGTGATTCACGGCTAAATGGTATGAGGCAGTGTGGTTTGGGGAGCCGCTTGGGAGAGCCTCTAGAGAATTAACCTGAGCCTGGACGGGAAGAACTATATGGCTGGATGTACCTATAAAAGTTCTCTTATTAAATAAATTGGCGTCAGGGCCCTGACTGCAAATTGATGGTTCCAGCTTACGTGGGAGTCGGGGGCTGACTTCAGGCGGGGTTGTCTCAGGACAGACTCGAAGGCTGGAGCTCACGCGGTGGTTCCTCTCCTCGCTGGCCGTGGATGCTGCATCTCCGTGCGGGCACGCGCCTTCCCGTCAGTGATTGGGCGGAAGCGTCTCGTGGCCGTCTGACGGTGGAGCTCGGGCAGCCTTTCGATGGTCGATCTGTTCACAGATCAGTGTGTGGCTCTGGGCACGATGCTGGGTCTCCGTGGCGTCAGAACCGCTCCCACTCCGCTGGCGAGGTTCAGGTTGCAATCAGGGTTCTGAGGCTGGTGGTACCAATTTAACTAACTACCTCTCCTTAGCAGAATCGAAAGTTATGGATATATTCTCCCTGGCCCGACAAGAAATATCCACCTTCCTTCTCTGAGGGTGGTTCAAACTTAAGGTGTGTAGACGAACAGGCAAACAAACAAAGGTTTCAGATCTGATAATTTAGCGTTCTAATACTTCTGACCTGTCTTTCTGACCTAGGCCGGCACCTACTTAGAAACTTGTTGCGAACGCAGGAACTCTCACATTTGCGGTGCACTCTGGTTTTGTTCAGCTGGAGGCCCTTCCCTTCAGGGGTGGAACCCAGGTGTTGATAGGTTCTCTCACCTAACGGGTAATTAGCTATTCCTAATTCTTGGTCCTGATTGGTGGGGGTTTCTCTGTCCTACCAGGGAACTCCCTCCTTTGTTCCTTCTAGGTTTAAAAGTTTAATTCGATTGAACAAAACAGTTTTCAGATCAATTAGGTTACTAAAATCCATAACCTACAAACCTAACATTTAGGTATCTACATGCAGTTTCTACCCACATTATCTGAGAACAACTATGGCAAAGGCAGAAACAATCTTATAGACATTCCTTGGGTGTCTTTTCATTGCAGGAACTTTCAACACAGTAGAATCATTACTTCAAATGACAATTAAGTAAATGAAAAGAGTAAAGATATAGAAGGCTAAATAAAATAAGTGACAAGAAAACCTAGGTGCATAATGTTCTAAAATCACTACTTTAAATGGTTATTTCGGTAACTTCAGACATTTATCCCACACATTCCTAACGTCTGACAAAGAAAGGATGAATACACTTTAAGTAACTGAGTATACAAATACAAGCATCATCACTCGTGAAATTAGATAAAGTTGATAGTTGAGCATGCATATCAATGAGTTTTCCTGGGATCCTTTGTGAGTAACAGTCCTTAGGTGGTGGCGTGGTAATCCTCGTTTTCACCCCTTGGGGGTGCTGTGGGTCCATGCTTGAGATCCCTAGGGAATTTAGAAAGTTGGAATTTTGCCGTCCAAAGTCGTACAAATTCCGTTTTGGTATGTCTAGTTTAGTTAAAAAGAGTTCTAACGAATGGTTGTAGTTTGGAGGGGACAAACACCTTAGAAATGTACTTTCTGTTACTTAAGAAAAATTTGTCCACAGGATTTTGGAGAGCCGTGCAGCTGCATTCCAGTGAAGGGTCCTGTTTTTCTCCAGGTCAAAGGAGAGAGAGGGGTGCTGCTCCTTGATTCAGCCGTAAATCGACTGATTTTGGGAGTTGGGGGTGATAAGTGACAGATTTACACCTCCAGCTCCAGACTCACTGGAGCCAAAAGGCTTTTAGCTTTTGGTTGTTGATGAGTTTAAGTAAACATTCAACTTGGTCATGTTTCGGCCAGTGTTCGTTTCAGCCAGTGTTCGCTACACTGTCTTACTTTTCATTGTGTGATCAGAAACCAGGAGGAATGACAGCTCCTTCAGGATGGCTGCACGAGCTGTTAGAAACTTCCAATGTTGATCCATCTCCCTCACCAATATCTGCTTCTCTTCATTCAGTCTTCTCACAGCCATGATGCTGTCAAACACCATTTTCTTTAAATCAACAGAAGAAATAAACTCACTGACACAAGCTTGTAACAGGGTTAGAGCAAGCGTTGCCCATCTTATCCACAAAGTGCCGATGTGATTGCAGAATTTCATTTCAACCAATAAGGAGCACACCCCATATAACAAATGAACTGTTTAGTATCTACCGATTAAATAAATGGAATCAGATATGCTTCTGCTTGATTACAATTAACTTTAACTTATCTGCCATCACACCGACATTTTGTGAATAAGAAGTGTCAGAGTTGGGAAAAAGTACAATGCATCTCTACTTGAGTAAAAGCTTAAGTATATCTATATTTCTAATATAGTTCCATACAAATACTTGCTTGGAAATATACCCAACTATCAAAAGTAAAAGTATTTTGAGTTATTACACACACTGTATAGTATTACTTTCATGAACAAGTTCTATAAAAGAGACTTGGGTGGGTGCAGACCTGAAAAACCGACTTAGCTGTTTGTGTATGCAGTCAGAAATCTCCTTAATGGAACATGTCAATCAAAATATTACACAGTAGCTACATTAGGGCAAAGTGCTTTCACATAAGTACATTCATAATCAAGTACTTTTTTATGTACTTTTAAATGAAGTATTATACTTTTAGAAAATCTAGCCCACATGCTAGGACTGTCCAATCTTATCTGCCAGTTTTATTCCAATCAAGCAAGAGCACGTGATTCCTTTTGCTCATCATTTAGTCTTCAAACACTGATCATGTGTGCTCCTAAGCTGCTGGAATGAAAACTCATAGCCGCAATTGCCCTTTGTGGATAAGACCGGACACCCTGGACACCCCTGCCATATGCTGTCTTACCACTGCATGGTAGTTGCCAAGGCCATGGTGTTTCTTGGTGGAAAACGGCATCCAGGCACACTGTTAGGTTAGATGGCACAAGGCTGTTGTACTGCTCCACAAGGGCAGCCAGAGTCCTCTTCTCCTCCCTGATTTTTCGCCGTATTCTATGTCGACCCTTATTGCTGTCTGAAAAATATGCAGTGTCTTTTGGCAAAAGAGTGATTCTTTCTAATTACATAATGCAGTATATCAATTATGTTTTAACTCCAAAAGGTTTGCACAAATTTGTAATTTTAAGCTGAAATATACCTGTTTGTTTGTAAAGACGCTGTGAGCATGTCTTTATGCTTGCTACCAGGGCTTCAATTTTACTGCACAATGACTGGGGTGTGGCATCTTGATTGGCAGTTATTGCTACCCAGAATTTTATCAGACTGTGTTAATTTGCATTGACAAATATGACTGATTATTGTTTGGTGACAATAATTTTGTAGCAGACATTATCTCACCTTCAGCCCACTCCTTAACATCATCAACCCAGTCTTCTAGCTGGCTCTCTGCAACTCCCAAATGGGCTTTCAGGGATTCCAGATTCTCTAGTTGACTTTGGAGAGCTTTACAAGTCTGCAGTGACAATCAAGAAATGCTTCACAATTACAAGCTCTTATTGAAAAAAAATAATTAACCGTAGTCATTAGGCTTACAGATAAATTGGAACACATCAATTCCTACATATAGGAAACAGGAACGTTTCTTATACCTACACTTAGTGGCCATTAAATCAGGTACACCTACTATATAGGGGAGTTTTGTAGCTTTACAATTACTGACCTTAGCCCATCTGCTGCTACACAATTTATCAGCCTCCCTCTACCCCATCCAATGGAAAGGGACCAGGACAGAACCACCACTGACCAGATATTATTTTTGGGTGCCAGACCATTCTCAAAATAGCAGTGACACTGACATGGCAGTGTGCGTGGTGCTAATATGAGTGTCAGGCACGGTAGTGTTGCTAGGCTCTTTACACAGGTCAGTGTCACAACTGGTTGAGCGTGGTCTACCACAAAGCAATATCCAGCAAAGGGATAGAAAATAATAAATTGCAGATGAACAGATCTCAACAGATCTCAAACTTCACAACTACAAGGTGTACAGACAAGATAGGTGTGTCTAATAAATTGATCGGTAAGTGTACACAATGTTTAAAAGCTCCAGTAGCACTGCTGTAATAGATGCTCATAAGTACATATTAAGATTTTCACTGCAAAAGGTTTTTACATCCATTTGGTGTTTTGGAAATAAGAGGTCTGAAAAGAATATCAGCTGACAAAAATCACGCTTCAGTCAAAAACTATTATTTTCATAAATAAGGTGGCATTAATCATAACATAGGACTGATATTTCTTTTATGTGTAAAGCCTACTCCCAACAAACTATGTCATGACAGAAAAAATATGAAAGTGGCATTTAATGTGTTACAGAATGAAATAACTGTTTAGTATTTAACCAAATCGGAAGCCTCAAACAGATATGCTTCTAATGCAGACCAATAAACATCTGCACAAACATTACTAATGTCTTTACCTTCTGATATCTCTGGGTAAGTGAAGAGGCCATATTTTGAAACTTCTGCTTGTTCCAGTTCAATGACAAGAGCGTCAACATGTCTGCGCGTCCTGCAAACACATTATCATCATCTAGTCCTGTGGGAGGTAGCAACACTTGTGCTCTTTCTTGTACTGTACATACTGGTATCTCACCTGCTTTCAACATGTGTTTTGTAGTCACAGCAATCCTGGAAAGGAACGCATTACACTGTTCTACCTCCTCACCTAGTGTAGAGCCAGCATTTTCCTGGTAAGCCCCACTCCATTTAACCTAGTTTCAAAAACTGTCCAAAATTAGTGATGTTGGTAATGATTAGCACAAGGTTATGGAAAAGTTTATAGACCATTTCATTTCTATCACAGAATAATGTTCACTTACCTCACATTTTAAGTCATGGGCTTTGGCGTGAAGGACTGATAAAAAGGGTCTCATGTTCTGAAGATGCTGGAGTCCTGGACAATCTTTACAGACTCTCTGAAGGTAAGGCCAATATTTGCAGGTGACATCAGTGCAGAGAAAAGTTATGTTTCCACGACTACTTGCTAGCTGTTTCTGCAGGAACAGTAGATAAGCAAAAATTTCTCCCCTGTACATGTTAAGGGCAGACAGAAGCACCCCGTGTCTGCAAACTGCAAGCTCCAGGCCCTCCTCATCCACCTTGCTGTTGGATTTGTGAGCGATCTCTCTGGCCGCTGTCCATTCCCCTCCAAAAAAACACCTTTTCCGGATACCTACAAATAGTGAAAAAAAATTGCCCAAAGTAAAGGGCAACAACAGATGTTTTACTGACAGAAAAATGTCTTTATATTAGCAACTTTATAAAGTATCTTGAGATTACTTCTTTGACTAAACAAGTATGAGTCTCTTGATCTGAAGGTTCAAATGAAAACTACAAATTTTACATGTTTAGTCCTTTGGTGAATGTAGTCCACAAAACTGGCCACGTCCTGATCTTTCGAAATGAAAACACCTTCAAAAAGTGCCTGCTCTTCGGTTCTTAGGAAAAAAAGAATACAGCAGTTTTTAATATATCCATAAAATTGTACTAAATATATTCAAAGTTTGTTAAATACAGGACATCCACGATTTTTGGGATACCTTGCTGTATTCCTAAAACGATAATGCTTGCGGTTTCCATCCACACACACAGCAAGCATATGAGGGGTGCAGGCAGGACAGTTAAAGTTATCCTCCTTGCAGATTTTGTCGACCTCATAACATACAGCAACCCATTCCATAAAACTCTTATGGAAACTGTCTGCAGAGATCTTGCCCGTCTATTTGAACACAGTGAAATTTATAAAAATGTGCAATGTTTATCATTTCATACTATAAACAGATTTACAATACTGTAGGCTACAAAACAAGTTGTAATCACTTACACGGCCAAAGCGAACTGTTCTCTGATCAAGCATTTTTAAAAATGCTTGACAAGACAAGCCTGGTGCTGCCATTTTCATTTCTTGGAAAGAAGAAAAGACATCCACAGTATAAATGGTGGAGAAATTGATTGTAGCAGGCCAGTAACCACTTTTTAGCAGATCATCAACTCCAGTGGTGCAGACAGACTGGCATTTTTCACAGGTCAGCTCCGGCAGGTTGAGATTATATCTTCCTACACAATAGCAAAAAGTATAACAAATGTTAGTTATGCTGTAGTTTCCTTATTTTTGTAATATGCTATAAGACACATCTTGCTCTATAAAGTGTCAGAGCAAAGTAGCTAAGCAGGTTAATGATGTGCAGCATATCATATTTAATCAGCTGGAAGTTATTAGCTACACTTACTTTGTACTTACCTTGCACATACACTCATTAATCTTTTACCATATAGGTGCAAATAAACAACTGAACAGTTTCATTCCAAAACGCTGTACATCCGTTTGTAACAATTTTGCATATAATGAGTGAAAAGAATATTGAAAAGAATAACAGCTGATGTATAATGGAAAACACATTTTTATTTCTCTAATAAAGATGATATTCATCATAATATAGCATTAATATTTCTTACATGTGTAAAAGCCACTCTGAACAACTTCTAATACAAACAATTTAATTCTTAGAAGTGGTGTATAATGTGTAATGAAACAATTACTGACTGTAGCCCATTTCTTTCTGCACAATCCTTAAACAGAAAGGGACACCATAGGACAACTACTGACCAAGTATAATTTGGGTGGTGGACCATTCTCAGCACTGCTGTGTTGGGGTATGTTAGTGCATGGACAAAGAGCACAGGGTCACTGCTGTGTTGAGAATGGTCCTCTACCCAAATAATATCTGGTCAGTTGTGACCTTGTCACCTGATGGACAGAGTAGAGGGGTTAACAGTTAGTCCAACATATGAGCTACAGTTAGTAGTGGAACGCTATAAAGTTATTTTCTATGGTAGGTGTTTCTGATAGTCACTGAGAGTAGGTACCAGGAACATGTTTCTAAATAGTCAATTTTGTATATACAGAAAAAACAGGTGCTGTGTTATAAACACTATGGTAAATTGAATAATAAGCCTAAGATAGAAAACATTTAAATGTTTTGTAGAATAAAAATACAACTAATCTGTATCCTTACCATTGATTGTGATAAGAGTGACCATCTTTCCCACATGGACTTTCAGCGCCTCTGGTGGGCAACCACAGATTTGGTAAGGCAATGCCACAGGTAAAGACCGCATTGAAAAAAATCACTTCCAATTTAATGAAAAAGAATACATAAATAAGAGAAAATAATTATATTCCACTCTCAAACTAGAACTTACCACATTGAGAAAGATGTTGATTATTGACACAAGTGGTTGAAGCCAAAGGGTGGAAGAAGCCTGATATCAATGCATCTCTGTTATGAAGCACATATCTAGTGTGTACCTTGATGTCACATTCAGCACAGAAGAATGCATGTGGTAAGCAGTCTCGACATCGCATGACAGCTGGATTAAACCCACACTGTTGACAGATGTATGATGCCACATTCTCTTGAGCCAGCATGCTGTTTACCAGACGTGGTCTCTCTTCCCTCCACCTTTCAGAGAACAAACTATTGCGTGTGCTCCAGTCTGAGGAAGCTAGAAGAGATGATGATGTTGGTGCTGCTGCTTCTTGCTCGGCATCTGAACCCTCATTACTAAGTGAGTACTGAAGGTCCTGCAGAAGCGTTTCTGCCAAAATTACAGAGTACACAAAAACAATGTTTGTATTAAGCAACATTAATGACATTTCACCACAAACCTCACCAAAAGCAGTGCTTGTGACAAACCTTGGAAACAGGGCCATAACCAGGATCAACATTTTAGTGTCTATTTTGCAGAAATGTGACCTACATCGCATAGTGAATAAAATAACTGCAACCATATTACACCTTTACACCAACCATAAGCTACTTCTTTAATTCTTTTTTTAACACGATCATGGCTCCTTTTTACCCACTCATAACTGTTATGCATCTTCTTCTTTCATTTATTCCACCCTCATCCCATTCGTCTATAAACTACTGTTCCATAAACTGATTTGACTCCAACCCTGTTAGGTTTATTTAAATAATGTTGAAACCTAGACTAAATCAAGTAATATTTTCAAATTTATTTAATTTCATTTTCCTTTCTCTGTCTGCTTGTCTTTTTCATCTCTGTCCTCACGGATTACTGAAAAAGCACACATTAAACATACGTTATAGAAGTCTGTGTCTACCAAAACCCAGCTAACAGGAAAGGCAGCTACTCATACAGTTTATGAGACAAAATACAGTCTAATGTACCTTCTGATTTGTTAATGTTAGCCACATGATCATTAATATGCTGGTTAACAGTGAACTTTCTCATGCCAGTTGTATGTTATGAGTAGGTAAAGAAATTTGTTAACTGAGTAGACCGTATTATCATAATGGAGCTGTTTCTACATTTATTTTAATAAATGGAGGAAAGTGAAAACCCTTCTGAAACTATCAAGGTCTGGACTTCAGTGTCCTCATAGCTAGTTACGGTCATGCTTGGAAATGTCCTGTACAAAACATAACATACATACCAAGAGGCTCAGGTGCTACGGCCACTCCACCATTTGTCTCATTAGAAGCATGAGATTGAACGTCATCATTAGGTGGCTTACTCCTGTGCCCATCTGTACCAAACAAAGTCAAATTACTTATTTTTACAACTTGTAATGACTTAAATAAATTGCAATATCACATGAATCCTGAATACTGACCATGTTTTGAGAGGTTTCTGGTTGACCTTGGCCTCTGACACACTTCATTCCCATTACTGTCTCTCTTTCTCCATCTGACTCTTTTTTCAGGTGCCTTCATTGGTTCACCAGTATGAAATGGGCCCTAAATATTTTGATAAGGACCGTGTTAACTCCATTCCTCAAATTTGTGAACATTTTATTTTTTCTGCCAAGATATATCACAAATCATACATTAGTATGTATGATTTAGTATTAAATCTTAATTTAGTCTTATTAACATTTTTTGATTGTTGAAACGTTTACTCTGTTACTGCATGTTAATGTGACTATGTATGTTTAAAGTGCATTTATTTAAAAAAAATAAATAAATAAAAAAAAATAAAACACTTTTTATACTGTTATAAACAGTATAGGACACAACATCAGTGCAATTTAAGAAATTTAAATAAAAATGTGAAAATTACCACTCCTGCCTGAAGCTCTCCAAAGTCAGTAAGACTCTTAAGTTCAGAAGCAACTGCCTCTGCCTGCAGGTGCTCAAGCAGGTCATCAACACTCCTGAGCTCATTTTCTACTTCCAGCTCCCAATCACTCATTATAATAGTGTGACTGACAGAATATATAAAAAAAACACAGACTAACAGACTTAAAGACAAACAAACAGGAAGAAACAACAAAAACAACACAGATAGAAAATGCCCTATGTATTTATAACAAATAGAACAAAAAAGAAAACACAGACACAAAAGACGGACTGACAGATAGACGGACAGATGGCTCTTAAAAGTGCCTTTGGGTTTGGGTTTAACGGATGACTTGAAGGACCTGTTCAGAGAATTTGAAGAACAAAAAACAAACATTAAACATTTAGAATATACAAACACTTAGACACTTCGAACGCGCAATTAGAGTTTGCTAGTCTCTCCACATTAACTACGACCCCTCAATACAACACGTGTTGTCTAACCCTAAGAATGGTCTATAACCTCCCATATGCAATCGCTATGTGGTACTGATTTCATTGCACGCCTTCCTACGTTATTTACATGCGCTATCGTTCGACAGAACTCGTGGTTTTTCAAGAAATAATCTACTGTAGCACCAGCTGGAGCTAGCTTGCTAGGTGCTCTTACCGAAGCTCTCGACGAAATGTGCGTGTGATCGTCGCAGGGAATGACGTTAACACGTCCAACATGTCGCTGTCCGGCTGATTAAAAAAGTCCTTATTTTTAAAAAGCGTTCCGATTTTATTGCACTAAATCTAAGTGCAGTATTGTTTGATTGGCCAACGTTATTTGACTTTAACTCTAGTTTCCGCAAAAACGGCAATGATTTTTACACATTAATTACAATAGTTTACAATATTTAATGTTTCAATTGTGTTTCAAGGGGTCTATATTTTTATGATGCATCATTTTATAATTTAAGTAGCAGTACAGTCCCAGGCTGGTCGAAACTACGACTTGGTTTAAAGCAATAGGAGTCTGTCAGCCTACCGTGCACGTCCAAATGTGACGCTAGGGGGCACCCCACCGCGGCGATACTTGACGCGGGGGGCTCTTGACCAAGCTGCGAATATTGACGAGCTAGGAATGAGAATGTGTTGACAAATGAGTCCATTCTTCTTCAAATTATCGATGCTCATCTTAAATATCTCTCTTTGTCTACTTTCCCAAAAGGAATAGCTAGGTACAATTTAGCTACTTTTCCAGAAAAAGTACTGGCTACTCTTTAGCTACTTTTTGAAAATGTTTCAGTAGCTATCCCAAACCTGGTGATGGCTTCTTGCATGGTTTTCTCCCAAACAATCCAGAGTTGTGTAGACTGCACTTCACTGTGGAGATTATTTCGTTGTGAGGTCTTCTGACAGCTGTTTTGCTGATCCCATCTTAATTGCTCTTTTTGGATTATTAACAGATAATCTAAAGGGAGGGGTGCAGACTTTTGCACTATATACACTACATAAAATATTTAAAGATAATGTATGTTGGGGCAGTTACAGAGTTATTAATTGGGAAATTCTTTCTTTGCTATCAATAATTGTTAAATCACTAATGTCAAGAGTTGGTGAGAGTAGGATTTTAGCCTCTGTATTTTTCCAGTTTAAAACAATGTCATCAAAAACAAATCTTGCAATTTTTTTTCCTGCAAAGATTAAAGCAGCAAAGACCAAATTTTAATGAAAACAATCACATTTTATTATCAGACTTGCTATAATGTTCTGAATATTATACCACTGTTTGTGACAGTCATGGTGGAAGAGGATTCCACCCTGGCATATGTGTACACTTTGTAGAACACTTTCTAGTTCACATTTACTCTTTAATTAGCAACATTCACTAATTCTGTTCAGCTATAATAAATTCAACTTTTTAACACAATTCAGTCTCAGCAATTTAGAATAAAAATAATTTTCAATAATTAAATTACATATTTAGTTTAATAAATTCTTAACATTTTAAGCCTGTCATGATAGCTGACATATATAAATATTTATAAAATCTTATTCCAGTAAGCTGCAGTTGTCATGAAGTGACAGGCTTTTGCTGACATTAAGTGTCACAACACTTTCTGGGGTGAAATGACAGCATGTTAAACAAATTGTCTTTGTAGCTCAGTGTATTTGTGGTAAGTTATTTAACTTTACCAGTGAGACTGCTTGCAAAATCAAACAAACCTCAGCACTGTTATAACGATGCGTTGGCACTTTGTGGTAACACTGAATGAAAATCTATTGTATTCTGTTTATAATGTGAGGGTTTTGACACTGATACTCTGTAATGACAGAGTTCTATATATTTTCTCTGCCCTTTAAGTAAAGTGAGCTTCATTGTGCTGATATAAGATGTTATGAATAGTAATTGTGGAAATCTAGCATGAGTTGTGTAGATTTTATTCTATTTGGCTCTTAAGTAAATGAGCAGTTTGTGATCTAGTTTTTTGTTGAACATTCTGTCACTCAAACTGCAGCTTCATGGAGTCACGTCTTTTCTTTCTCTCCAGGTGGTGGTGCTATAAAGACATTACTATCCCATACACAATATTCAGTTATCATTGAAAATCTACCTTGATGTCTTTTGTGTCTTTTCTGGCAACAAAATGGGTTTGAAATGTTGTCAGGATTAAAATGTCCAGTATATTATTTTATTTTGCATGTGAATTGGACACTATTAGAAACAGGAAATAAACTGTAAAATGGACACAATGCTACTAAAACAATCAGCTGTTATAACATCTGTCATTTCACACCTCACAAAGGCATCATGTCAATTTGACAGTGAATCTGACAAAAGCAGCCTTTATGCCAATAACTGCTTATTGGAATAAGCCTTTATAAATGTGTATGAAGGTTTATGTCAGCTATAATGAAAGGCTTATGTGATTGTCATGTCTCCTTATGAACATGGTCTACAGCAAAGTATTAGCTTTTATTTTTAATTTCATATCAATGACTGAAAAGCTAATCATGCAAAATGTGCTCTGAAGCAAGGATGTGGGAAGGAGGAGTGCTGAGTGGGATCCAGCACCTCCAGATTTCAGGGGAAAGAAAATAACAAAAGAACACTTTGTGCCCATTAAATATCAGCAAGCAAAGCAAAATAATATTGTTTTAAAATATTTAAATTTTCATAATTAACATAATTATCTCCCATCCAAACATTGTAATAATCTCTCTCTAGATATTGACATGCAGTTTGATTATGGCTGCAACACAAACTGCTTTACTCCTCAAATCAGCAATCTGATTATTCAGCGCTCAGCTCATTTGCAGAGACAGCAAAGTGAGCATCAGCTGTGTTTGCTGCACTGGTTACATAGGAGTACAGCTGTATCATGTTGTCTCTCTCCAAACAATTCAAATGAAAAAAGAAAAAAAAAAAATTAGATGACATCAGTATATTTATCACTTATGTGCTGCTAAAAATGTCAGCACCTACTTAAAACACCTTCCTGTGTTTCTGCTCTGTAGAGTGAAACATGAAGAGCTGTTCATTCACTTATTACTCCATACAATCAAGAGTGAACTGAATAAACATTTGCATAATACAGAATGTGTAGCCTCACTGATGAGCAGCTACAAAGAGCAACAAAGGAAATGAATAAAGCAAGAAATTAAATGTAAATAACTTTCACAGGCCATGAAATTAAAGCAAATGTATGTTATCTAAGCAGTTTTCTTTGTAGTTTTTAAATTTTCTTTTTTTTTTGAAAAGAGAAAGTAAAGTGGTTTAGAATGCAATTTGTTAAAGAGAACATTGTGCTCTTCCTCATTAAAAAACAAAACAGAAAGAAAACAGAAATTTCATCTTCAAAAAGAATATAAAAGCATTTGGTGTTTAACTTTTGGCTGAGCTTAAGAAGCTCAAATGTCATTTCCTGAGCAGACACTGTATATCATTTGGGTCTCTGTCAGATGATCTGTCCCTCTTTCTCAGACACCTCTACCACATCATCATAGCCTGAAAGTAAAAGTTGTTGAATAAGTGACAAACATCTTAAACACAGGCATATTACTCCACATATACATCACTATAATTGCATTGCAGTCCTTCATTTATGTACCATTACAGTGATGCAAATCCATGTTTAACTAACAGCACTCTGAAACGAAGTGCGAGAGCAAGAAAACTTATTTAGTCTGTTTCCACCTCACTAAAGTAGAAAGGAGACTCACCTGCTGAATCACCAAAATCCTGTCCAGGAGTGATGACATCATCATAGCTCTCTGGTGTGTACACTGTACAAACATATGTGGAAAAATTATGATACCGTGAAGAATAAATGTTGTTTTGTTATTGAACAGATGCTGGTTAATGATATGTTCACATGAATTTTTTTTTATTTTTAAAGAAACAAACCTGCTGTAATGTGCAGATTCTCTCCAGCAGGAATGGCATCATCATAAATCTCCACCTTGCTCTCTGTAAAAACGTCAGTTTTAGTGCCACTAAGCTTGATTTTTTAGCTTAATTTTTACAGTTTTGTCACATGATAAGGGGTAACTGTCACAGTGTCTGAATGCCACCATACAGAGAAGGGAAGGAGCAGTTTCCACTGCAACTTACTGTTAGTACAGTATTTTAGGACATGCATGGAGATGAGTGATAAATGCTTTATTGTGTATATGTGACTTAGCAGATGTCTCCAGTTGGCTATGACTCTTTAGCAGAGAGAGATTAATCCTGATTTATCCTGGTTTCTGATCATTTTCTCTATGTGTAAATCCTACTCTATCAGTTGTAATACCGACATTTGTTTATTCTACTCAATCCAAACCGAAGCTGCTTTGCTGCAGTACAGACGAGTGATTTTTCAATGCAAGAATTATAAAACAGGAACACACTTGCTCCTCTAGCCGTTGTCTGTCCAGCAGAAATGACATCATCATAGTTCTCTGGAGTGTCTCTAGTTCCCACCTCACCTAAATCACATACAAAACATGTTTCACAAAGAGTTAATTAATCTTTTCAGAACGTCTTTGAATGAAGTGATCTCTATAAAGGCACCCACTTTTCAGGCTACGGGTGGAGACATCATCATAATATTCAGCCTTTTCCTCATTCACAGCCTTTGCTGGAAGAGAAAGAAGAAAGTTAGTTTCGACGTCACTCCATCAGCCTGACACTCTTGCAGAAGCTAATTTCTGGAGTAGTAACTATGATATGTTCAAACTTCAGGAGAAACATGCCCATTTCAGATGTTATGCATGGATGTCATCAGCCTTTTTGAAGACTAATGCGAGAGCGTCAGATTTAATCAGCTACAGATGAGAAATCAACCATCTATACAAGCCTGGAAGTCCTGGCTAAAGATTCATTTGATTATTTGAGTATTTTTACAATTACATTTCTAATACTTCTCTTTTGAATGGAGTTTAAGACACACATGTTCTGGTCCTCTTACCTGAGAGAAGCTCCTCATCCACATCCTCATATCTTGAATGCTGTTCTTCAGAGAGGATACTTCCTGTCAGAATGTCAGACAATGTCAAACAAAAGCACATAAAAGCTCCTATTAATCACAGTGAACTGTGCCCTAGCCAAAGTACAAGCTACACCAATCAGGCATAACATTATGACCACCTCCTTGTTTCTGCGCTCATTGTCCATTTTATCAGCTCCACTTACTATATAGGTGCACTTTGTAGTTCTACAATTACAGACTGTAGTCCATCTGTTTCTCTGCATACTTTAATAGCCCCCTTTTACCCTGTTCTTCAGTGGTCAGGACCCCCATGGATTATTATTTGTGTGGTGGATCATTCTCAGCACTGCAGTAACACTGATGTGGTGGTGTTGTGTCAGTGTGTGTTGTGCTGGTCTGAGTGGATCAGACACAGCAGTGCTGCTGGAGTTTTTAAACACCTCAGTGTCACTGCTGGACTGAGAATAGTTCACCAACCAAAAATACCCAGCCAACAGTGCCCTGTGGGCAGCGTCCTATGACCACTGATGAAGGACTGGAGGATGACCAACACAAACTGTGCAGCAGCAGATGAGCTATCATCTCTGACTTTACATCTACACGGTGGACTGACAAGATAGGAGTGTCTAATAGAGTGGACAATGAGTGGACACAGTGTTTAAAAACTCCAGCAGCACTGCTGTGTCTGATCCATTCGCACCAGCACAACACACGCTAACACACCACCACCACATCAGTGTTACTGCAGTGCTGAGAATGATATACATATACACACTACCTGTTTTGTCAACCAGCACCAGATTCATGCTTGGAGCCATAGAGCCACATGAGAAATTTACCTCCCTAGATCATGACAATACGGCTGTGACAGTCATACATTTTATGTCTTTATGAGTTTAAAAGTGAGGGAAAACAAATATTCAGAAAGATTTGTTTTTGTTGTTGCACTCACATAATGTCTTTCTTTGTACTCTCCTACATAAATAAAATTATGTATTTGAAAGCCCCCCAGAAATCATAAGTAAAAAAAAAAATAAAATAGAGGCAAAAATGTCATAAAGGCCCTCTATATTAAACTTAAAATTTTAAAAATTCTCCATAAATTTTCAAAGGGATTCAAATTTGAGAGATTGCAAAGCAAGTGTGCGAGCCACGTACAAACACAGCCTAGCCTTTCAAAATTTAGAAACTAGCCTTGCACTATTTTGGCTGTATGTTTGAGATCGTTGTTGAAATGTCCACCTTCTCACCTTTATTGGTCAGTGAGATTAAATTCTCCTCTAATATATTCTGGTACATGTTCTGGAAGGAGATATCATTAGGAAATCTTTCATTTTTCCAGGAACAATTAGTTCCAACTGCATATTATCACCTAACCCTAGACAATGATGTTTATTTATGTTATCTCTTTAGGAACTTTAGGAAGCTCTTAATCTTCAACATTCTTGCTACTTGTTGCATATAATCTTCCCAGACTGCAGCAACCAGCTCAACCAATGTTAGCCAGGAATTCTCACAACCTTCATGATTACAAACTCCAGCATTTTTAAGGAAACATAAAAAGGGACAAATACAATTTTCTCTAATCACTGGGAGCTCATTAGGATTGCCTCCAGTAGAATACTTTACATCATTTACCCTTTTTAGTTGTTCTCTTAGCGATGAGTCTCTGGTCGATCTCTTCATAGACTGCCTCAGTCAGAGTCTTATGCTTCCTCTTAGAGAGCACTGTGAGGGAGACAGAGAGAGACATGGAGCCAGTTCAGTAGAAGAGAAGACTGATGACAGACTGAAGGACTAATGATGTTTAGAGAATGTACAGAAAGTGGATTGTAGATGATCTCTGAATCTCTCTACCTCTCCTGAGCACTCTGTTCTGGTAAAACAGCACAACCAGAAGCACTAAGGCCAGGAAGAGCACCGCTCCCAGAACCAGGAGAGACACTGGATAGATGGATGAAATAGCTGGTGGGGTTTGTGGAGGAGTAACTGCTTCATTCTCTGTCTGACCAGCTGGAAATGAAAATACAGAATAGAAACTCCATAAAACATTACACTTCGAAAATGTTAAAAAAAATCACAGAAATGAATAAAAACAGTACCTGTGATGGTAATGGTAGTTACTTGGGATGTAACAGTGGTAGATACAAATATATCTGTAAGAAAAAATGTAAAGTTCACTTTCTATTATTGAGAGCAAGAGAGAGAGAGAGAGAGAGAGAGAGAGAGAGAGAGAGAGAGCTTTGAAGTATTTATCCTAAAAACAGTCACCTTGAGTATTGACCAATACAGATCTGATATTTTTTCTTTCAAAACTAAATTGCTATAAGAGGTTGGTACCATGGAGGCACGCAAATATAGTGATACCCATCAGAGGACCACAAGTCCAGATCGCAACACCAAAAACAAGAAACCCTGCTTGTTTCATTGGGTTGTGGCAGTAGAAGTGGAGGGAATACAAAGGGGCGAGGCCACTATTGTGGGCACTCATGAGCAAACTAGTCTGGTGTGAGAGTGAATCTCACTTCAGCCACTCTGGCCAGAAACCTTTCCAGCCACAGACAGAGAGATGCATTTTGAGGAATGGAAATAATTGCAGTTTCCTTGCAGACTGTATCCCCTGAGCTCAGTACTGAGACCAGAAGGACATGCTAAACCAGCAGAGTAGCTGCGTTGCAGCATGCTGAGCTGCTTCCAGGATGGTCCTCCTTAGGTTAGGATGGGCCTGAAGCCTGAAAAGACCCAAAATCTCCAGCCCCACTCTCTATAGCTCATCCAGGACTGAGCTCAACTCAGCCTGTATGTTGCCCTCACCTTTGCTTTTCATGAAAAGAAACACAAAGACAACTAAACAAACATAAAAGAACATTAAAACTATTATGGTGATAAATAAAAGATACAGTAGTTTGTAATAAGCTTTTAGATATACAACTCATAAACTCTTTAGATGTTATACAAGTTACCTATAAGAGCTGTACTGGAACAAGAGAGTTACAAACCCAAGACTCTTTTTCAATGACGTATAGAATGTTATGCTTTGTACATGCCCTTTCTAGGCTTTTTAACATTATCTGAACATTATTTCCTATCCATAATAAACTGCAGTAGAAAATGCTAATGAGATTAACAATATTGTAAGTTAGCAGACTCCTGTTACCTGCACAGGTGACTCCAGCATCCTGCCTGTGGGAGCAGTCAGTGTGGTTCCTCAGGGAATGAGGACAGTCCCACAGGTGAATCTCATTCCCTCTACACTTCACTCTGTTCAGCCAGAAAGGCCCTTCACCAGCACCAAAGACAGCACTCCCATCAGCACTCAGCGCCGGCCCACAGCCCAGCTGTCTGCAGACCACCTGAGCTTCCCTGATGTCCCACTCATTATCACAGATGGAGCCCCACTCAGCGTTATGATACACCTCCAGCCTCCCAGAGCAGCTTCCATTTCCTCCTCTCAGCCTGAGAGGCAGGTGCTCTACATCACACACATCACAAATGAAGAGACACAGTAACAGTGATAATTACTGCATTTTCAAAACTCACAATATAGTTTATAGAAAACATCAGTATGTATGTATTGCTATTGTAAGAAAAAAAAATAAATTGGGCCCAACAATTACAAAATTGAAGCTTAGATGAGGTTGAAAAACAGTTAAGAATGTACAGTCACATCTATAAATATCTATAAGCATTATTTTTAGCTGTCTATCACAGCATACTGGATATCTGACAGACATTCAGCTTTGGGGATATTTCACCCACATCAGGTGAACTGTGTAGGAATTACAACCATTCTCATACATAACCCCAATTTTTGGGGGCTCAAAAGTATTTGGGGAAAAAAAAAAAAAACAATCAGATTTTTTTGTCATTTTTTTATTCTGGGTTGCCAGTCTGTTGTAATAAATGACTATCTGAAACCACAAACCATAGACATCACCAGGTGCTGAATTTCTTCCCTGGGATTCTCTGCCAGTCATTAACTGCAGCTGTCATTATTTCCTACATGTTCTTGGAGTGTTTTACATTCACCTTTGCCTCCAGTAAGTGAAATACGTGCTCAATTGGACTGAATTGAGTTGGTTGACTCAGCCATTGCAGAACTTTCCACTTTTTCCCTAGAAAAAGTCTTGGGTTGCTTTTCGCAGTATGATTTGGGTCATTGTCCATCTGCACTGTGAAGCACTGTCCAATGAGTTTTGTAGCATTTGGCTGAACCTGAGCTGATATTATAGCCCCATACTCTTCAGAATGTATTCTACTGCATTTCTCAGTAGTCAAATCAGCAAAAAATACAAATGAACCAGTTACATCAGCAGTCATACATGCCCACATAATAACACTACCTCCACCAGGCTTGACAGATAAGGTAATATGCTTTGGATCATTTGCAGTTCTCTCCTTTCTCCATATGTATTTCTTCTCATCTGTCCATAAGATGTACAAGGTACTGTACTGTACCTAAACTAGGTCTTCTGTTTTTTGAGTCTTACCAGTGGTTTACATCTTGTGGTAAATCCTCTGCATTTACTTTGGCAAAGTCCTCTCTTGATTGTGGACATAGAAATGCCTACCACCTGGATGGTGCTCTTGATATCATCTGTGGCCCTTTGGTAATTTTGAGCTCACCAGTGTGTTTTTTTCTTTTTATGAAAATACTAAATTGTTAATCTTTCCACGAATCAGATTGTGTATGTTTGATTCCAAATGCAAATGCCACACTCGAAATCAACTCTATATTTTCTCTGCTTACATGTATGTGAAATATTGTGGTGTAACACACATCTGGCCATTGATCAGAAGAACAGCCTTTTGTTTGAATTATTTCTTAGCCCCTAAAATTGAGGGGTATGTATGGAAATGGTTGTAATTCTTACACTGTTTACTGGACTTATAAGACTTATAATATACATATGCTCACACAAAAGATAAATTTCAATTCCAATATGATGTAGAGAAAAGTTAAAATAACAATAACATTGTTTATGTTCAAATGTTAGAGACCTGACTGCACTGAGAATTAGACTGCAGGAACACTTGTCCTTAGCACATCATCTCATTTTTCAAACTCTGAACTCTGTTGTGTTTGAGTGTCCTTACTTGAGCATTGACTCTGGTTAGGAAATGAGGAGCATTTCAGACGGTTTTGCAGCAAAGAATGATTTATCTCTCCTGTTAATAGAGAAAACATAATTTATTTACTAACCAATTAACTCCTTTGTTCTCACATATAACTTTAAAGATCACAAAATCATACAGATTACCTACCAATTTCATTTCACAAATCTCAGATCTTCATTTCTGCTGTAGTTTTTATGTCTACAGTCAGACACAAATAATTCTAGTAATGGTAATATCAACTAGAGAGAGAAACTGCCTACCTGAGCAGGTAATGTGGGCCACCTCATTTAGATTATCACAGTTGTTCTGTCCCCAGGGGGAAGATGGACAATGCCACAGAGTGGAGTCATGTTTCCTACATTTCAGATTATCCAGCCAGTTAGGAGCTGATTCCACTCTTGCTTTGGTTTGGCTCAAACTGCCTGATCTTCCACAGTTCAGCTCTTGACAGATTAAACCTATTGTTTCTTCATCCATCCCATTTAAACACACATTACCCCAGGTTCCATTGTAGAACACTTCCAGATTCCCCTCACAGCCCTCAGTGAGTCTGATCTCTTTAAAATCTGGTGGGAGAACGATGCTTACTATTAAGTCTTGGAGGTTTTTCAGAATCAACTTTTTGTTACATTTTGTATACGAATTAAGCAGAACAAAATCTTTTTATTGATAAGTTGAGAAAATAAATTCATATTCTACACATTGTGAGCAATCCTGTTTTGTTTTTTTACAGCTGCAATACACTACGTCTTTACACTATTTATAAGAATGTCAGTCAGCATTTTACCAGAACACACGACTCCTACGTCCTCCATGTGTCCACATTCATCCTCTCCACACAGCTGAAATCTGCAGTTCCACAGGGACGTCTCGTTCCCCTCACACTCCACCTCATTCAGCCATATGGGTCCTGTTCCAGGTCCAAACCAGGCTGGTACCGGGGCACTGAGGGCCACTCCACACTGCAGTTGTCTACACACCACCTGTGCATCCTTAATATCCCACAAGTCATCACACACTGTCCCCCATGAGCCGCTGTGGAAAACCTCCAGCCTTCCTGCACAGTCTCCCCCAGAACCAACCAGCCTGATGGAGCTGTGAGCTAAAATTACACATATAGAAAAGTGACAAAGAAAAGTCATAAAGAGAAGAGACGTTCAAATTCAAACAAAGTTTGTTCCAGGTTTCATAATGCATTTATTCCACATGATAATTTCCTACATTGAGAAAATAATGGAGAATTATCTATGAAATTTAGGAGCCAAACCTTGACTTTTTCTGAGAAACTTGACTTTTCTTTGCATCAGGATACACCCTTTACATTAGGTTACATAATGGAACTTTCACTGAAAATACTGAATATGTTTTTCATCAAATGTTGTCAAACTAATCTGAATTTCAACACTACATATTGCCCATAAAATATAAATTTTGCTCATATATGAGTGATCTACTCAGCAAGAAGTTTAAAAATGCTGGCCTAGCCAAAAAGAACAGCACAGGCAGAAAACAAACAGTGGCTATGGTGTGGTAAACATTCATATCAGACTTCTGCCACATTGAAGGAGATTCATTAACTGCTCTGTTGGACATGGGGTCGTCAGTCACAGTGGCCCAGACAGAAGTGGTACCTGCTAGACACCTAGGTAGGCTGGGTCTAGACATTTTTAGAAACCATGGGTGCCAAATGGACCTAGAGCATGCCACAGAGTACAGGTGTGTGGATGACTCCCCAGCCTTAGGAGTCCCCCACCCCAATGCACCCTAGGAGGTGGGGGCAATTCCCAGTTTGGTTCAAAGGCTTTGTAGTCCTCAGGGGTGGGGACTTTTGTAAGGGGGGTAGTGTAGCATGTTCAAGAAATGCATGTCTTGTTACTTCCTGTTTATTCTGCTAAGGACTCTTACTCTGAAGAGCATGGATAGCCAGCTAGCTGTGTTTATGCTTTAAAAAAAGGAAGAACAGAGTTAATTGGAGCTGAGCGCTGAGAGTGCACATGTGAGAGAACAGTGAGTGAACTGCTCTTTAATAAAGCACAAAGACTTGAACTGGGTCTTCTCTGAAGGCAGTGAGTGCTACAATATATTTTTATACATGTAGACAGTGTCCATACTTAAATATGTCATAAATATCATTCATATACACTGACATGCCAAAAGTCATGGGACAGGAACTAGTATTGTGTAGGACCCCCTCTAGCCCAGTGAAGTGCAGCAACTCGACATGGCATCAATTCTACAAGTGGATAGAAGACATCTGGAGGGATGTTGAGTCATGCCATCTGGATAGTCACCCACAGCACTGTGGTATTTGCAGGTGCAGGATCTTGGGTGCGAATGTCCACCACATCCCATAAATGCACGACTGGGGCAAATGTGCAGGCCATATGATGATTTGTTGGAACTCTACAGAATGCTCCTCAAACCAATTCTGGACAACTTGGGCCTGATGGCACGGTGCATTATATTGCTGGAATATCCCATCATTGTGGGGGGTACATGAAGTCCATGAAAGGCTGCAAATGGTCAGCAAGCCGTGAAACGGTCAATTATGTATTCAGGTGTACCAGTGAACCCAAACAATGTCATGTGATTTCTGCCAGAGTCTCTTGTCTGTTTGCATGGCGATCAGGCGGGAGTCAGGATTTTTTTCCACAATTATATCCCCAATTTAGTCATATCCAATTCCATCCACTAGTTAGGACTCCCCCAAACATGAGATACCATCAGTGCTAGGAGGGTGAAGGCTAGCACAGGCTTCCTCCGAGACCTGTGAAGCCAGCCACTGCATCTTTTCGAACTGCCACTCATGCAATGTCATTGAACAGCCTAGCATCATGCTCAGTGATGGGGGAGAGGCGGGGCCATCCTACCCACCCAGAGAGAGCGAGGCCAATTGTGTTCTATTGGACTCCTGTCCACTGATGGCTGTGGCATCACCAGGGATCGAACTCACAATGTCCTGATGATAGGGCCAACGCTTGGACCATTGCACCACTCGGGAGCCGGGTAATGCCTTGTACGATGGTAATGCCTTCTACGATGTAGTCCCAGTACAGATGTGACACTGTGGATTGAGAAATGTTAAATGCCTGCACAACTTTGGAAATAGAATTTACTATCCCTCAGGCACCCACTATCATACCTCGTTTGAACTCAATTCACGTCACCTTGCCATCAGCACGCTAGCCAGTGTTCAACCTCACTTACAAGACAACACCTCGAAACCTAAACCAGTGTGGGCGTCCCAAGCTGTCCACTGAGGTAACACCACTTCATAATCAACTTACATACTGCTATTCTATGACTTTTGGCATGTCAGTGTATTTACATATTACACAGAGTGAATTGCTGACATTAGTAGGCTAATTAGCGTAGTATTAATCATTACTTTCCCTTCAGGTTGTGATAATTTATTATGGATATTTTAAAATGAGCTTATTGAAATGATAAAAATCTAAAAAATCAAAAATGTTAATTACATACAGTAAACTAGATAATAAAGTTTCCACACCTGGTTATATAAATGTGTTCCAAAATAATCCCAAAATACATACTAGAGCAGGTGATTGAGAGCTGTTCTCTGGAGCTGCAGTTGACTGCTTGTGCGCTGCTGCAGTTCCCCAGATGAGCTTCACTCCCAGCACAATGGAAGCCCATCACACATACGTCTCTGTGTTCAGGACTGGATGTAGAGGAGCTGGAGAAGCTGAACACAGAGCCACAACCCAGCTGTCTGCAGACCACAGAGGCCACAGACTCACTCCAGGAGTCCAGCAGAACTCTCCTCCAGTCCTGCCTGAAGTACACCTCCACCTCCCCCTCACACTCCATCCCTCCAGACAACCGCACTCGCCCCTCATGAAACGCCAGAGAGGAACCTGAAAGGATTTTTAGTTTAATTTCTGATTTTACAAATTTTAGATTTCAATGTGAATAAATCTGTATTTTCACTTTTTACACTCTTTACATGGCTGAACAAACTCACCACTGCAGATGATTCCAGCATCCTGTTTATGAGAGCATGCAGTTCGACTCCATGATGAAATGGGACATTCTGACAGGTGTGTTTCGTTTCCCTGACAATCAAACACATCAGTCCAGATCTGGCCACTCCCCTCCCCAAACCAGTCTGACCCCAACACAGCAACAGCACTCCCACACTTCAGCTGACCACAGAGGACACTGGCAGCTCTCATATCCCAGCTTACATCACACACTGTGCCCCACTCACTGAGGTACTGGAGCTCCACTCGACCAGAACAGGAGTCAGAGCCGTTCACCAGCCGAGCCTGAGTGTGACCTGAGAACACAAAGAGTTTATTAAAACAGCAGTTAAACAGAAATGCATGTACAGTAATAACTATAGTACAACATGAAATAAGTAATTAACGGGGCCAGATACATAAACCTGCTGATCATGTAGTGATGGTGTTATGAAAATATTGATGTACAAACAATTATTAAGATAAAAAACTACATAAAATAGTCTAAAAAGTATAAATGTTAACAAATATAAAACAATTCTCATTTCAACTGTGAATAAATAGATAATACTCTAAAATGTTGTATTGGTATTTATTTGTTTGTTTGTTTGTTTTGTATTTTTAGTTTTTGTATTTGATTCCAGAGACCTTCTTTCAGCAGGGAAACTGAAAATCCTAAATTGTTACTGTCTCTAAGTATAACATTAAAACCCCACACTAAATTACTTCTACATCACAAGCCCACTTGTTTACAAACGTCTGTATTTGTTTTCTATGGTTTGATTTATCTGATGGACTACAACTACCATAAACATTAAACACCTACCTGCATTACAGCTTTTGCAACTACACTGAGCAGATCACTCGGGCAGTCAGAAAATGTTGCTCAATACTGATCAATTCACAAAGTTAAAATAGCTCATGAATAACTGACCTAGTAAATGACTACAATTTCCATGAGCACTTTGACACAACAAAACATGATCAAAGATATACACACATGTACACATGAAGGTCTAACACACGTGTGACTGTTATCTTGTTTACATTCACACAGGATTAATTTTTCCTAGCATGTGTGACAATATTGCTGCGTTGTACAGCCCTGATTAATATCCAACATTGAAAAGTTCAAATATTATACTTAACCGGAACATATTAGTCCAACATCACTGTCATGGGTGCAGTTGAGTCTAAGTGAAGATGATATTGGACAAAGGGAAGTCTCAGATTCATTTCCTCTGCACTGAAGCTCCTCTGACCACACCTGACCCTCCCCTCTGCCAAAAGCAGCTGCTCCCAGCACCTCCACAGGAAGCCCACAGCCCAGCTCTCGACACACAACCTCTGCATCCTGCTGGTCAAAGTCAGCATCACACACCGTGGACCAGGTCTCTCCATGAAACACCTCCACTCTCCCGGAGCACAGATGAGGACCACCAGTAAGCCTAGACCTTCTGTGACCTGTGTGTGATGTAACCACATAACAAATGTGCATAACACACATAAAAGTGAGAAGTTCACAAGGAGATAGTTGCTTAGATAGTTTTCCTTCCACATGAATCTACTTAAAGTTTACAGTAAGTGTCCAGTAGATTTTATGTTCTGCCAGTGGTGAAAGGGAAGGTTTTTTTTCTGCCCAGTTTTGATATTATAGTGGATATCAAAATATTAAATTATGATTGATTTTTTTAGGTAAACTGTTCCTAGTAATAGTTATGTGCTGTAATCCTCATGTGACGTATATTTGTATAACACAAGGTTTTGCTTTTATGTTGTCAGTCAGTTTGAAGTTATCAGGAGTGAGGCAAATTTTTATTTCCATGTCTGTTAAAAATTGGGCTTAAATGTTACTGTTTTTGTCAACTGCACTTCCACTAAGTCGAATTTCAGTTTTCTGGCTCAAAATTAAACATTCATTTAAATGGTAAAATATTGACAAAGCACATTCCGCAAAACATTAAACATTAAACACATCACACAGATGCTGTCCTTATTTACAGTGCTGTGAAAAAGTATTTGCCCCATCTTCTATATTTAACAATTTGTCACATTTAAATATTTCTGATCATCCCAGTAATTTTTATAGAAAATAAAGACAACACAAGTAAACACAAAATGCAGCTTTTAAATGATCATTGCATTTATTGAAGATAAAGATCTATTCCTAACCTTTATCTCCCACGTGGAAAAGTAATTGCCCCATAATACTGATTGTGCCACTTTTGGCAGTGACAACTGCAGTCAAGAGTTTACGGTAAGTTTCTTTTACATTACTATGCCATTCTTCTTTACAGATTTGTTTATTACGTCTATACAGAAGGGTTTTTCAACCAAGAACTGCCCATTTAAGGTTGTGCCTCAGCATCTCAATGGGATTCGAGTCAAGACTTTGACTCGGCCACTTCAAAACCTTAATTTTTTTATTTTTTTTTGAGCCATTCAGAGGTGAACTTGCTTGTGTGCTTTGGATCATTGTCCTGCTGCATAACCCAACTGCGCTTGAACTTTAGGTCACAAACCGATGGGCGGATATTCTCCTTCAGGATTTTCTGATAGAGAACAGTATTCATGGTTCCATCAATTATGATCAGTCATCCAGGTCCTGCAGAAGCAAAGCAGCCCAAGACTACCACACTACCACCACCACGTTTGTCTGTTGGTATGATCTTCTTGTGGTAGAATGCATGCTTTACACCAGATTTAACAGTGACTTCTAAAAATAGGAATATAATAATAATAAGAAGAAGAATATTATCCTAAAAGTCTTGGGGGGTCATCTAGATGTTGGCAAATGCAAGACTGCAGTGTACTGCGCCTTGCAGCTCTCCCATGGATGCGATGTGTAATCATGTATATTGACCTCAACTGAGGTCTGTAGTTCTTTAGATGGGTTCTTTTGTGACCTCCTGTATGAGTCTTTGATGCTTTGATGCACTCTTGGTGAAATTTGCTAGGCTGGCCACTCTTACGAAGGTTCATCACTGTTCTAAGTTTTCTCCATTTCTGTATAATGGTGGTTTGCCGGAGCCTTAGCAATGGCTTTGTAACCCTTTTCAGATGGCATCAGCTGCTTTTTGAGACCTTCTTGCCTGCTTCACATTGCCAGCTTTACATTGTTCTATTGAAGTTATGTTTAGATTCAACAGGTCTGGCAGTAATCATGCCTGGGTGTGGCTAGTGAAATTGAACCCAAAAGTCAAAACATAAAAATTAGGAAGGGTGCAAATAATTTCTCACTGCACTGTAACTATGAAATGCAAATCATAGGTTATGTTTTTGTCAGTCGGCAATGTTTATTCCGCATTCACACTGACACAGTTGTTCACTGCGTAAGTCTTTGCATGAAAAATACTACGAATGATAAGAATTATGTTTACATGAATGGCACCTGAAAAAAGCAACTGAGTGCAAGAGGAAGAGCAGTCTGAGTGTGTAGTGATATGGTAAGGGGAGAGGAGCATACAGAGAACAGGAAAGAGGCAGGGCACAGATATTTTCCCCCATATTCAGGGGGATATATGTATTCAGACTTTTGACTTATCTATGGTGAGTTTATGCCAAACACGTGCAAATACAACCAAAAAAGATAAATAAATGCCATTTGATATAATTTTAAACACACAAGTGATGTTATAAAATTGTTATGACATTACAAGATATGATAATAATCATGAAATAATATGGATAAATGTTCTATCTGTATGAATACCATTTTTAATTTTTAATTTTGAAATCTCTGAATATGGCTCAAATTAATAGTTATTTGTGTTTCTAATAAAGCAGTAGTAACTATGCACAATGTCAGTGATAGCTGTCTGCAAAGAGTGTAAGAGGTGTGTTTAGCCTGAAGAGAGGCAAAGCAATGCAGAATGGCCTGCTGGAGTATTGTGAGTGACATTGTTTGGGTGGGTCTGATGAAAACCTTTTTGGTGGGGTTTTGGTGGGTTTGGTCAGAGAAAGAAGGGCAAATAAATGCCAGTGCCAGTGAAAAAAGAGTAAGAACGCAGAGTGTACAGAAAGGGTCATATAGCTCTGGGAACATAATGATGCAGCTCCAGGGTCATGTATCTCTGGTAGGATTAAGTAGAAGCATTCCCATGCTTAAGACAAACCTCCATACGCCAAAATGGTGGTGGGTACAATCTGTAAGGGTAGGCTGCCCAACATTTTCATGGGAGATTCTAATGTGTCAATCACACCAGGAGTCATGAAACCAGCAGAAAGGCAGAGCAAAAAGAAGAGACTGAAGATAGTGCTTGGGGGGATCCAAGGGTGCCAGATCAGAAGGCACTGTAAGAGGCATGAAAAGTCGAGTACTGATGTACTAAGTGATGGAGCCAGTGAGGAGCAGAGTCAAGAGGAGAGACTGAAGTCCATGACCCCAAAGGATCTACAAAACATGGGCCAGTAGAATTGGAAGGCATGAAGAGTCAATTGTTGGCAACAGACAGAGAGTGAATAAGTAGGCAGTGAGAGTAGGGAGAGAATCTGACAGGGCTGGCAGCTGGAATAAGACAAAGTAGGATAAAGAGGAGATGGCATGGGATGAGTTGAGGAGGAGAGGGATGAACGTTACGTAAGAAGGGGGATGGAATGGAGGAAGAGTGGTGGAGTGTTTGAATGGACAGGGAAAAGTTGGATTAGTGAAGGGGGATAAGATGAATAATGAAAAGACAGACTTTATAAGGAAGTAGTAGGATAAAATGGGAAGGCCTGGATGAAGAGGGAGGAATAGGATGAACAAAGATGGTCAGGATGCATAAGAGGGGAAGGGGCTCTCCAAAGACTTGTTGTACCATAGATTTGAATGTGGAAAATGTGGAATGTGGAAAAAACAATTATCAGCCTTTCTGTATAAGTCCCCTGCACTCCGCCATCCTGGGTCTCTCACTTTTGTACCCTGCTCATCTCCTTATCAATGAGCTGGACATCAACAGGCTTTTCAATAGACCAAAAAATGAAAAAAGCACCAGGGCCAGACTTGGTCTCTTCATCCACCCTGATCAACTAGTACAAATCTTCACAAACACCTTCAACTAGAACTTTGGTCTGTTCCCACATGCTTTAAACATTTAAGTTCATTCCAGCCCCTGCCCTCCCCAAAAAAAAAATAAAAAAATAAAAAATACTGGACTACATGTTCTACAGGTCAGCAGCCCTGACCTCTGTAGTTATGAAGTCTTTGACAACATGGTCCTATCTCACCTGAAGGCCATCACAAACCTTCTGCTGGATCCCCTGCAGGTCACATATAAAGCAAACAAGTCTATCAAGTCTGTCAACTTGTCCCTGCACTTCATACTGCATCTCAACAGTCCTGGAACCTACAGTAGAGTTCTGTTTGTGGAATTCAGCTTGGCTTTAAACACAATAGCGCTAGAGCTCCTGCAGGTCAAACTGTCTCCGTTGTCTTCGTCAAATCCCATCTGCGGATGGATCATGGATTTCCTGACAAACAAGAGACAGCATGTGTGGAAAAACACAACTACGAAAACACAGATCAGACCCCTCTCCCTCAGTACTGGAGTACAAGTAGTTTATGTGCTATAACTCTTTCTTTTCAGTCTATCAATGACTGCTGCTTCAAATTTTCTGGCTGTGAAGATGCTGAAGTTTGCAGATGGCACCATCATGTTGGGCCTCACAGCCAATGATGAAAAATTTCCCTACAGAAAGGAAGACGAGCAGCTCATCTCCTGGTGCAGCAGCAGCCACCTGCTGCTGGACATGCAAAAGACTGTAGAGACGGTGGTGAACCTCAAGCTCAACACTCATCATCAGTAGCTCTGTAATTTCCAATGTGGAGTCACTCAAGTTCCTGGACACCACCATATCCAGGAACCCAGAGTCTGAGAAGAATATAGTCTCCATAGCCACAGAGGAGAATGTTTTTCCTGAGACAGCTGAAGAAATTCAACCTGCCACAGAGCCTGATGATCCAGTTTTAAACAACAATCATCAGGTACATCCTCACATTATCCATAAGCATCTTGTTTGGTTTCTCCATGTCACAAGTACAAGCTAAACTCCAGTGCGTAATCAGGACAGTGGAGAAGATCATCATATGTAGTCTGCCAGTGCTTCAGGACATCTATAACAGCAGGGTGATGAAGCATGCTGGTAAAATTATGGATGACCCCTCTAATCCTGGACATTGTCCATTAGCTTTCTTCTGGGTAGAGAATAAGAGCCATCAATGTCAGCACAACCAGACATGCCACCAGCTTTTTCCTCAGAGATGTAGCACTCTTTAACTACAGTGGACACCTCCTACTGTAGTTTTTAAAACCCTGTGTCTACTCACTGTCCACTCTATTAGACACACCTATCTTGTTGGTCCCTTTTGTTGGTCCCTCTTGTTGGTCCCTCTTGTAAAGTCAGACAATAACTCATCTGGTGCTGTGCAGTTTGTGTTGGTCATCCTCTAGTCCTTCATCAGTGGCTACAGGATGCTGCCCACAGGACACTGTTGGCTGCATGTTTTTGGTTGGTGGACTATTCTCAGTCCGGCAGTGACACTGAGGTGTTTAAAAACTCCAGCAGCACTGCTGCATCTGATCCACTCAGACCAGCGCAACACACACTAACACACCACCACCACGTCAGTGTCACTGCAGTGCTGAGAATGATCCACTACCCAAATAGTACCTTCTCTGTGTACATAGTATAAGGAGGTGTACTTAATGAAGTGGTTGGTCTTGGCAATAGTTGTGTTTCTGCTTATAAAATCACCATATATCATTAGAGTATGTACAAATTCTTCAAAAGTCATGTTTGTGAGCTAGTTTGAAGAACAAAGTTTAGTTCCAGACGTCTTCTTGGTGCCTCCATGTATCACATGGATCTGTTACATTCTATTAGCAGCACACCAGATTTAACATTATGAAGCACTGATTGGCCAAACCAGATGTTGAATGATGACTACAAATTTTACAAAGTTTCTATGAGGAGACATTTTGAACTGGTTAAACCAACAGATCGAGATAATAAAATCATGATATATTTTATAGATACTGTGTGTATGGGTGTAAGGTTTTTGTAATGTAAGTGCTGCTTCTGAGCAAATAAATACTATCTGCCCAGGGCCCAGTTACCCAAAAGAATCTTGGTGTTAAGGTCAGTTTAAGTGGTAGAGTCTGTGTGATGCTCGCGCTTCCATTTAGGAATCATTTAACATACTAACATGCTTTAGGGGAATGAAGCCTAGATATAGAGCCTTTTAAATCTAAATTTCTTAGGTGCCCAAAACCTTTGCATAGTACTATGAATATATGCACACAAACACACACACACCAGACACACTCACCAGTGGCATGTGTACATATGGTACAAGGTGCTGGGAAAATTCCTCAGAGATTCTGGTCCATGTTGACATGATTGCTTCACATAGTTGTTGCAGATTTTTCAGCTACACATTCATGCTGTGAATCTTTCATTCTACCACATCCCAAATGTCCTCACTTAATGTACTTAAAGCTTTCATCTTTAAGACATAAAAGAAAATGAAGCTCAACTGCACGTTCATTGCTTCAGATACACAAAAAAACAAGTGTTTCTGTCCATCCTTCCACTGTCAGAAGGCAATTTAACACTATGGGTCTGAAAGAATATGTAGCTGTTAAGAAGCCATTACTGACAAAAAGAAATGAACTGTAAATCTTTACAGTTTAAAGGTCACAAATTATCTGTTATTTAATCTTCTGATTTAATGTCATGAATTAATCATCACTTTATGTCTCTCCCAGTAAAGAGATTATTCTTGCTACAATTTATACTATAGACTCATGATTAAGACTAGTTACTGATATCTTATCTTTATCTCTACTTGTTTTGTGTCCCCTCAAGTAAAGTGTGAAATATACAAATATTATCAATTAACAATGAATCTGATAAAACCTAGTTATTAAGATAATAAGATAAGATAATAATGTGTAGATTCTGTCAGTGTATGGATATTTCATTTCTATGCTTATAAAGGCAACTATTTACATACTTTGGATAAGCAGCCTGTGTTTTAGGCCTAACCAGTATGTCCACATAAGTTTCTTCTGTTATTCACAGTGAAATATGTATGGGCTGCTCTTAATCATGAATTCGTACTATAATTAATAGATTAATAGTGAAGATCATCACTTTACCTAGAGGCACACATAAAGCAGTAATTAATGGTAAAGTTTTATTAAGTGAATATGTGGCGGTGAGGCAAAGTGTCCAGTAAAGCCCAAAAACTGCACAGTGGAAGAAAATGTAATGATAGATCAGTTAATTAACCAATAGATAATTATAGGGGATTAAAATATAAGTAATTGATCATTTTTATGTTACATATTTATGAGTAAGCACACTTATCAGTTCATTAGCAGTTTAGTAAGTAGTAGTTAATACACAGTTAAAGAGTAAATAAACTGCAAACTGACAAACTAAACTATCAATTAACAGTGTACTCAATTACTAATGACTAAGTACTTAATTCAAAACTAATGCTCAATTAGCAGCTAACATATAAATAATGAGTATTTAATTACTTGTAAGCATATAATTATCAATTTTGAAGTAAAATATCAAAACTGGACATCTGAGATGCGGAATAAGGTTTTGTGGACTATTAATCTAAATTTGTAATTAGGACTATATGGATTGAAGAAAGCAAAAAGTGCAAACAAAGTCAAAGACTGAACTTTAAAAGTGTTCACAAGAACAATTATTAAAATTCCTGCATATGTCACGCTTCCTGGTTCTCATTCGGACTCTCGGACCACCAAGGACTCCACTTCCCAGAATCCTTCAGTTAGTCACGAGACTCTTCCAGTCAATCACAAACCACCTAACAGATCACAGTCACCGGAATACTAATCATCATCGCCTGTTGTACTCTGTATATATACCGGTCTGTTTGAAACTTATCTTTGCGAAGTATTGCCCTTACTTAGTCTGTGCATACTTAGCCGTTTGTTTTTCTGATTGCTGCTCCGTGTTTGACCTCGCTTGTTTTTTCCGTTTTCGATTCTCGCTTCTGTTTTGGTGTATGTTCTTTTCCTGGTTACGACCCTCACCTGTTTTTTCGACTCCGCTTTCGCCTATGCCCCTGTATTTCGTCTGCCTCTTTTGGTTATTGACCTGGTCTGGTGTTAACCCTGTTTACTCCCGTTTGAATAAATCTTCCGGATTAACTTTTATCCGCGTGTGTCTGATCTGCAAACCCTGCGTTACAGCATATTTCTTTGAAAAGCTGAAAGCAATAAAAACAGAAGCTATACTAAAGGTTAAAGATGGACACATTAAAGACAAAAAAAATGTTTATTAGTTATTTAGCTGTTTAGGCATCTGTGTAGCTTTTCAGGCAAGTAGTAGGATTTGGCATTAAAAATGATTGAAACTTACCTGAACAATGAATTTCGATATCTAAAAGATGAACACAGCTATGTTTGCCCCATCCCAGTGATCCACAGTTTTTCAGTGTAGATTCTGATCCACTGCAGTCCACATGACTCATCCAGATCGGTCCAGATCCTCCTACAGCAGCATCCAGACTCAATGGCTCCCCACAGCTCAGCTCTCTACACACCACTGCAGCATCTATCATGTCCCCGACATATCCGCACACTGTTCCCCACTGTCCTCTATGAAGAACCTCCACTCTCCCAGTGCAGCGACTGCCACCACCCACAAGCCTCACACTGTCTGTGAGAGAAAGAGTGAGAGAGAATATATGAATGTACAGATGGCAAGACCAAATCAGAAATTAAACAACTATTTTTGAACACAAAATGTGTTTAATGTGTAAAAATGTGACACCATTCTAATTAACTGAAATCAATCAATCAATAAATCAAACAATCAATCACTTACCAGCACACACCACACCCACATCATTATGATGAGAGCAGTTGTATTTCACCAAAGATGATGTTGGACAGGAGTGAATCTGAGATTCGTTGCCTCTACACTGAAGCTCCTCTGACCACACCTGACCCTCCCCTCTGCCAAAAGCAGCTGCTCCCAGCACCTCCACAGGAAGCCCACAGCCCAGCTCTCGACACACAACCTCTGCATCCTGCTGGTCAAAGTCAGCATCACACACTGTGGACCAGGTCTCTCCATGAAGCACCTCCACTCTCCCAGAGCAGCGAGAACCACCAACCAGCCTGACTTCTAAAAAATTATCATTAGAAAAAAGATCATTCAAGAATGTCTAAGGGTATGTAAGTTTAAATTTCAGTAATTATACTACTTTTAGGAGAACATTCTCACTGTCCTGTCTAATATATTGCATTTATGTGACTGTGAAGCCAGGATGTTGACTCTTCCAGTTCAGTTTGTTAATGCATACAGTATTTCTTAGACCTCAGCACTGCTGAATGGCCTTCATTTATTAACCTGCACATTGTGTAGCTTGATGATAGTAAAAAGGACTTATCTTTGTTGATCTGCAGCTACATTTCCTTCATTATTTGCCATCATTACTACGTTGTTGACAGTGGTAGGACTTGTTGATAAAGTGGATGAAGCTAAGGGACCTTGCACATGATGCTCTACATTGCCTGAGTCCTGGCAACATATGCTGGATGCAGCAGATTCTGACAGAACAGTCGTGAGGAAATGAAGAAACTAGGTAATTCTTTTGTTGGCTTTTCTCATCCTGCATTGTTTCCAGACTTAATGTTGTTAAAGTTGTTTTTGTGTTTTGAAATGCTAAGAAAATAATCTACATTTTGTCAGGTTTTCAGCTGTTCCTCATGTACATATCTGGAGATTTATGTTCAAGTTATACATAGACACATTTATAGCCAAAATGACATGGACACCCAAGCATCAGCTGGAGTGGCGTAAAGCACAAACACCTGAAATTGTACCAAACACCTTCGGGAATAATTGGTTGTGAGTGAGGCTTTTATGTCCAACAACAGGACCTGATCCATGAATTCTCTTTGACTGAATGAGCACAGATTTCCACAGACTGATCTAGATGGCCTCATCTAGATCAGTCTGTGGTAGCATTTCATTTGGACCTGGACTGCAAAGAAGCATTCCAGTGGATGCATGAGGGCTTCAACACAGACCCGGTACGGTCATTCCCCGATCCTACCATCCCATTCATTTTTTTAAACACATACCAGCAATGACTGCAATTGTTCTGTTCTCTTCTAGGTGCAAAAAGGTGCAGAGAGTGTCAGAGAGCATTGAGATGGATCACTGAGCTGGAGGAGCTGTGGGCTAGATAGGACTACACATCGAGCAGGGCATAAGCATGTCAACGCCAAATCACTGCGGTCATGTACAGGAGAGGGCTGCAAACACTAACTGCTGCAGCAGCCCCAGATGCAGTGAAATTAAGCCCCTGTAGTATCAGCATGGAGAAGCCCCAGCAAGTACAGGAGGGTGACAACATGCTGGGGAGGATAAAAAACTGGCAGCACAGCAGCAGAGGCCAGAGTGGTTAGCCACAGTGGCTTATAGATTAGCTATAAAAGCCTACCATTCCCAAAGGGATAGCCTAGCTAGCCTCTTTCAGTGCAGGAAGATGTCGTTATGTGGTAGCATCCAGTTCCCAAAGCATTACAATGCCATGATTATGGTAGACTGACTAGTGGAAAAGATGTTTTGTTTGGGGCAACAGAGGAGCTGCACAGTGATCAGGTGCAGAGCTTTGAGTCAGCGGTTATGCAAGAGATCTGTCTCCGGTTGGGGGTTTGCATAACTCTTACCACACCACTTCACCGGCAGAGCGATGGGCTGGTGGAACAGTTCACTGACAGTGACTGTTTTGCTATGTGATGTTGTTGTGTGGTATAGCTTGGCTTTGAGGGGACAGTGCCTGATTGACTCAGGGCACTTAATTATGAATACCAATGTCTACCGGGATACCTAACTTCCCTGTGGAGTCTAAACTGTTCACTTACCTATCCTGGAAAATTCTGGCTGTTTATGTTCTGTTTATATATATATATATATATATATATATATATATATATATACATACACAAACAACCAAACAAACTGGTTCTGGAAACCATGTTTACATCAGTCAATCCAGTGAAACGATTTTGTAATTGCACATTTTGAGATGTATGAGGCAGAGGCTTTGAGTGATGGGGGGTGCCCTTTCAGAAGAACTAATGCTAACAGTGGAATTAGTCTGCGCAGTGTTATATGATGAGGACTTGACTCAACAGCTATCAGCAGATGAGTTGAAAAGCCTTAGTATCTTAGTTACTTTGCTGATCTTTAGACTAACTGTATTTATGGTAAGACATCCTTAAAATGAACATTAGCAAATACAGTAACCAAGATTAATTTACCTTAAAGCTGCTTGTTAAAAGTTTTTCAAAACTAGGAGTGTAGTCTGTATGGCAATTTTATCCAAAACTTTTTTGGCTTCAAATTTGTAATGAAAAAAGTGCATCTTTCAGATGATCAGGACTACACAGATCTGAATTACATGTTCCACAGTAATACCTTTCACCCTTGCTTAATAGAGAAAGTAGTTCTTAGAGATAGCTAATAAGTACAGGGAGTCGTGTCAATCACTTTGCAAAGAGTCAATTATATATTTTTCAGAACACATGCCAGTAGGGCCAGCTGGCAGCAACCAATAAGCAAGATGGTTTAACAAGGTGGTGGACAATTAAAAACACTGTGCAATTTTAGGTGTGTTGGTGCAACCTGTGCCACAGCTTTAAAACAATTTTATATATTCCCTAAACCAAGATTCACTACTGACTGTGGCAGTAAAGTCAGTGATGCCACTTTCCCCATCTATACAAAGAAGGGCCTATGACACCTGCTGCTAGTGAGTAGGCACAATTTAGTAGTTTGTTGGGTGTGAGTTTGGGCGGGGCAGTGCACAGTAACAGCAGCTGTAACAGTGCACAGTAACTCAGCAGCAGGGATACTGAGTTTCCCTTAGGGAAGGGGGCATCAAAGACAAGCCCACAAGACTATTTTGTAGTCATGTATGCATTCTGCTTAGTAATGTATGTTCACTGGAACTTTGATTGAAGCATTTCCAGTTAACCTTCGTTCACTGGCCTGTACAGTGTGGTTATAGTGACACTTTGTGATTCTCTATTTCTATATCAGTCATTACTCTCATTGTTGCAAACAGTACTGCAATGCTTTTCTGAAATAAAAAAATACAGATACCAGTGTAAACTATAAGTACAATTCATAACTAAAGTAACAAAATTTAAGAGGTATAAAATGTCAATGTGCTCATTTAAAATCGGTCTATAGTCAGTTTATTTCTAATATGTGAATATAGTTTACCCGAGCAGATGACTCCAGCATCTTTGGAATGACCACAATCATGTTTACTTGACTCTAATGATGAACAGTTTTTCAGTGTAGATTCTGATCCACTACAGTGAACATTATTCATCCAGATTGGTCCTGATCCTGGTCCAAAGTGACCATCATTCAGTGCATCTACAGCCTCTCCACAGCGCAGCTCTCTACACACCACTGCAGCGTCTCTCATATCCCAGTAATTACTACACACTGTTCCCCACTGTCCCCTATGAAGAACTTCCACTCTCCCAGCACAGCGACTGCCACCATCCACCAACCTCACACTGTCTGTATAACAGAGAGAGAGAGAGAGAGAGAGAGAGAGAGAGAGAGAGAGAGAGAGAGAGAGAGAATACAAGACAAAAAATGAAAGACATCTCCTCGTTGCTACACTATCAACTTAAAATGATGCAAAGAAAAAATGTTTGCAGAAAAGAGAACCTTTAAATGCTCTTACCAGCACACTCCAGTCCCACATCACTGTGATGGGAGCAGTTGTGCTTGAGTGAAGATGATGTTGGACAGAAGTAAATCTGAGATTCATTGCCTCTACACTGAAGCTCCTCTGACCACACCTGACCCTCCCCTCTGCCAAAAGCAGCTGCTCCCAGCACCTCCACAGGAAGCCCACAGCCCAACTCTCGACACACAACCTCTGCATCCTGCTGGTCAAAGTCAGCATCACACACTGTGGACCAGGTCTCTCCATGAAGCACCTCCACTCTCCCAGAGCAGCGAGAACCACCAACCAGCCCGACTCCTGAAATATTAGGGAGAACAGAGAACATTTTACAGTGATGATTAAAGGTGACTAAAATAAGTGTTGAGAAAAAAAAGTATTTAGTAGACATTTTTGATGGACCTTAAATGTCTTGGTTAATAAACTAACAAAACAATAATAAATACTGGGATATAGACAGACCAAAAAAATGAAAGAAAAACTTAAATGAATAGTGGAAAAGCCATAACAAGTGCAGATGCTTCCAGATCAATGTATTTTAATGATGCAATAATGTTATTTTTTATCATTAATGATCCTACAGCAGCACTACCTGGGACAAAGGGAGGTCTTGCCCAAGGGCAGAACCAGATATACTGAGTCAGTCCTGGGATTTAAACATGTGCCTTTTGGTTGCTGGTTCACCTCTCCTACCACTAGGCTATCAGACACCCCAGTAGTTCAAATCCTACCATGCTCTGTAACATATTTTAACATGCTTAGTAGATGTAGTTGATATTTATCAATCAACAAAAAAATCAGTAGAAAATATCTAGGTGAATTTAAAAGAAGCATGGATGGCAGGAGCTTCACTCACAAAGACTGACTAGTGTGTCAAAAGGTAGAGTAACTGAAGTCATATCTGCATTGAGATATATGAGAAATACATTAGTCAGCTGGGTTGGAAATTGTGGTCAAAAGCAATGATTCAATGATTCTGATGCTTGTGCTTTAGAATCAGAATCAGAATCTTTATTTGCTATGCACCAAATGTACAAGGGATATCTCTTGAAGCAGATGTCAACATAAAACAAAATCCATAAAATAAAAAAATGAAGGCAGTGTTTTGCAAATCCTTTTGACCTGTATTCAACTAAAACAGTACAAAGACAATATATTTAAACTTTCATTTGTTTAATTTTCTTTCTAAGTTTTCTTTTTATTCTTAAGTTGATCATATGACTGGTCTAGTTACTGGTGCCAGTTTGAAGGTGACTTAAAGCAAATTGTGTTTGAAAAAATTCTTTATAAATATAACTTAATCAATGAAGCAATGCTCAAATTACAAACGTGCCTCTTATCAGTCCTCCAAGCTGAAGCTGAATTGCTTTAGAAAGAGAAAAATTAGTGGCTGAATCATGCTAATAGAAAGAAACTCTTCAGAGTCTTCTTCTAGTGACAGTGAAGACAGCTCTGATTAAGTTGGTTTTGATCTGACTGTCGAAGAAACAGAGTCAAAGGCAGATGGGGAAGCTAAAAATTAACCCTTAGGACCCAGAGCCTGCAATTTGCAAAACAGTGGTTAATTTCTAGCCTTCATAACTTCAGAACAGTTTAAGGTACAAACATGATCCACATATCAGGACATTCAGCAGACCCGCCCCTAACTAGAAAGCATGACATCATTGAGCTGTGACCTCAGCATTAGTGAGTAATTTGGCTTGGAAAACCACTTAAAAGCGACATGATTCACACATAAGATCACTCATCAGACTCTGCCCTCACCATCCAGAGTGATTTCATCCACCTGTGACCATCCATCAGCCAGCGATCCAACTCCAAAATCAACCAAATCCCACTCACTACTGTTATATTACATATGACAAATATTATTAGAAAATTAATTATATCTAGCTCTGTCCGTTTACATTGATTTTGAGTATTAAAAATATCTGATATTAAATATGTAACATAATTTGTAATTAAAAATAAAGCCTGATTTTAACCATGTTTCTCGATCCCCTACTCTGACAAACTTCACACAGTACGAAACCTGTCATACCTGAGACAATAAAATACTGTATCTGTTTGATGCCAACACCAAGGAGGCATATAACTCATCACCCCGCTTGGAAGATGAGGTCACAACCTGGTTCATCTTCTGCCTGTGTACAAACCACTTGTACATAGGGAGCCAGCTGTCACCTGCACAGTGAAGAAATGGTCTGAGGAGACTGGAGAGGCTTTGAAATGCTGTTTTGACACAACAGTGTTGGAGGAACTGTGTGATCCTTATGGGGAGGACATTGACAGTTTCACACACTGTATAACTGACTATATAAACTTC